TGTGACTAACATATGCAATCGATCAAACTTCATTAAGATAGGAAAGGTTGGGGGCTCGATTTTTGAAAAGGTTTCAAAAGATCTTTTTGGTGGGGTGAGGAATAACTTATGTACTACCATAAAAAAGTCACACATGGGTCCGTGAAGGAGAGACATGCCAGTATCGCATTTGCCAGCCTAAGGAGCTGGAGGCCGTGCTGTTACAAGTTGATTTAGAGAAAATGTATATGTATAAATAAAAAAAGACCTATAAACTTGATCAATATTTTAAGGTTTTTAATTAAAAATGTGGTGTCATGCTCATTTATACGTGTCCTAAAAACTCACAACATCTTACTAGTTGAGTTATATGCCTGTTGGTAATATCAGATAAAAACATTAAAACTAAAGCATCCATGAATAAATATACACAAAATTTTATATCTAAATGTTTATTTTGATACGATATGTGTGAATACTATGGATGTAAATTTTGATTGAAAAAATCAAGAAAATAAGTAAAAATACTTGGTTGTAGTCTATTTTTTTTCTCTCTCTTGAAAACTAATTAAGTTGCAAATATTAATTTAAACACTAAGAGTACAACAGTTTTAATTGCTAATTTAAAACTTAAATCTCATGGTTAGGTTACTCTTAGTTAGTTTTAATTAAGGATTGTATATTTACAACTATATTTGAATTTATATTTATAATTAGCAAAAAATTTTGAGACCTGCTATCGTCAAATTAAAATGTTATTCCTCTAGGCTTTGCTCCCCCCTCGTAGGTAAAATAAAAGAGAAAGTATGAATTAAAATATGTTTTACAAAAAAAAAAAATGCTTGAGGCGGTGGTGAAGAGACATATGAATCTTCGGCCAAAAAAAAAAAAAAAAAAACAGAAAGAGAGATGGATGACACGTGAGATGAGTACTTGGTCCTCTTGTGTCATGAGTGAAAAAAATTAAGCAATTGCACATATCTATTAATTGATGATATAGAGGCACACAGACACATATACCCACCAACTTTATCGATCGAGACGAAGTAAAAACGAAGATGCATGCATTTGGATTTTAGTTTAACAGGTTTGGGTTTTTGTTTATGGATGATATATGTATATGTTACCTGCCATTTCAAGCGTATTCTGTGCAGTTTCAGAAAACAATTATATATCATCGATCCTTTTGCAGCGACTAATATCTTAATTAATAATATGTGATGAAGTCTTACTAAACCAGAATTCACTTTCTCTCCATTTTCTTTTCTCATTCATTCACGCTCATGCATGTAGACATGAAAAAACAGGTTGGCCCAACCATTTAAGCCGAGTTTTTTTTTTTGGGGGCTTATATCTCAAGCCCAACTATAAGTTAACAAGGTTTAGAGTGGTCTTTTAAATTTCAAGCCCTTTTATTTATTTTTATTTTTTTAAATTAAAATAATTCATTCATTCCATTACAGCATAAAATCTTAATTCAATATTAAATCACATAAACAACAGCTTAATTTTTAATATTAACAATATTTTGTTTATGCAAAAATTCTCTTATTTCAAATAATAAAACATTAAAATTTACAAATTTATAATTCAAATCATACAATACAAAATTATATAAATATAGAAATAATCTATTATTAAAAATATAATGAAATATTAACACACATATGTAACATGAATTAAATTATTGTCTAAAATTTAAATTAGATCAAATAATTGCTTTTGTGTTAGATATATCATTGTTTGGGATTAAACAAACCAAACCTTATTCAAAAAATATTAAACAAATCAAAGTATTATGTAAATTTTAATTTAAAAAAACTACTATAACAACTAAATATTTGAAATATTATCAAAAATATTAATAATATTATCATAATAAATAATATTTTAAAATATAAATAAATGAGTTTAAACGGGTTGATTCTCAATCGTACAAGGTCAACCTGTTTAGGCCCTTGGCCTATTAGGGTTGACCCTTATAAGCCCACATTTTATTTTAAAGTTCTAAAATTGAAGTCCGGTTTTAATGATTATCAAATTTAAATGAGCTAACTCTACGAGCTTGGCCTATTTTTTTGACTAAATGCATGCAAAAATTGTCATATTTATTTGAATTGAGTTGGAACAATATTCCCTACTCTTATGTATGTGTCATCGACATCAACGTACATACGATAACAGATTAATAGAGATCCACGTCATTCATTCTTCTCTCTAGCTCTGTGCTGCTCTCTCTCTCTCTCTCTCTCTCTCTCTCTCATATATATATATATATATATATACACATTTTATTGATTTTCATGCATCTTTTTTTTTTTCTTTTAATTGTTTCCACACATGTGTCAAATATCTACTTAAAAAAATGATGCAAAAATAGGAGGGAAAAAGATGATAAAACTGGGAAGGTAGAAGGAAATTAGGACCAGTCGTGGTCGGTTCGCTTTATTCTCGTTTTCTCTTAGCGAAAGCAGACACAGATAGATCGACAAGGCATGCATGTGATTAAATAAAAAGCAGTACCCACGAACTTGATATTTTTCTTTCCGATATTTTCCCACAAATTACATTCCTGCGTATGATTGCTGCTACATCTAGTCTGTTAATCCAACAAATACTCGTTTATGTTTATCGTTTTTGTTATATTTTTATTTTATTATTTTTAATAAAACGTAAATTTTTTTTCTCTTCTTTAAAAATTCAACCCTTCTATGAATTAGTTTAATTTGTTGTCCAAACGCTGAAAACATCACAGCCGTATATATCTCGATTATTTGACAGAAGCAGCGTCTTGTTAACTGTTTTGACGGGGTTAAAAAATGTTCATGTTCGCTTTATTCTAATTATTTACATATATTTCCCAAAACAAATCGTACCATATATTTGGAACCTATAATTTTTAACGGCGCAACTTGCTATATATTTTTAATTATATATTTCTTCTGTTTAAAAATATAAAATATTTTTTAAAAAATTAGATGCTAAAAAATATAAGTCATTTTTAGTTTTTTGATATATAATTATTACTTTTTTTTAAAGTGCTCCTATTGATAATGACTTTATATTTATTGTAGGGTGTTTAATAAGGGTGAATATAAAAAGATAAGGTTAATTGAAAAGTATATAACTATTTTATTGAGAGGTGAGATTAATTAAAAATACTTTATATTTTTAATGGAGGGAGTAATACACTACCTAAATTTAAATATCTCATCCTATATTATTTATAATATATATATATATATATGGTTCTAAATTTTTCCTAAAAACGAACTCCTTAAATGTTTCAACTTTGACATTAAGCATTCGAAAGTTAACCAGTGTTTACTACTTAGGTCCCTACCAACAAATTAAAGTTCAGGCCATGATCATTCAAACATAAAATCTCGGATTTAAGATCATGTGAATGCAAATTAAAGTCAAGGCCATGGTCACTTAAACAAAAAAGCTCAGATTTAAGATCATGTGAATGCAAAAAACATCTATAGAAAAATTTATTCTCAGTTAGGCCTGATAATACTTAGATTTGATCTAGTCAGATGGCCATATAAAAAAACAAAAAAGCCAGGGGCTAGTGTTCTGTTCATATATAAAGACGGGTATAGATTTTAATTTTTAGCTCCAATGGCAATATGTTTAAGACGTTAATGGCAAGTTCAAGTTCAATGCTACAGAGTATGCTCAAGAGTTCAACACCACGGAATTCCTTGGGCCCTTGTGATAGGTGGCCAATGGGTATATCAATATTTTTTAGCTGATAACTTCTGTGCTAGCTGTTCTGTTAATTGAATTTACATTAAGAACATTAATTGTATTCCTTTCAAGCGTGTGGATTGCTTCTCTCTAATCAATGACTCAAATTAAACATCACTTGTTGTTCATGAGACTAATATATCTGGTCTCTATTATAATATATCTTAACTATCTCATCGAAATAAAAAAAAAGTTAAGTTATTAAATTTGTTGAAAATGGAATAAACTTTTAATTTTAGTCCTATTTAAATATTTTTTAAGACTTGCACTACATTTTTCAAGAGTTTATGAGTTTAAATTAGAATAATCTTGAAAAAACATGATTAATATCTCACTAAATGCCTTATATTAAAAACTAAAAATCTTTTTAAAGAACATTCTATAACAGAGATAGGAGGGAGTAATATCCCTCGTTATAAGACAATTTTGAAGGGTGTGATATTCATATTCTTGTATACAATACAATTAACAAAATCTCAGGAGTAATTAATTTTCTCCCTATAGTATCCCTGGCTAATGAATAAAAAGGCTTGGTGCTGGGGAAAAAAAATGCTTGGACCACTTTAAGGTATGGTTTAAAAAATCAAAACGAGGCATGTTTTATGGAATTTAAGGCGGTTATGTAATGCTTAAGAAACATTAGATTGAAGGATTAATGTATATGGAAGTTGGCTACTTATTGCTTAACCCACAATTCATTCATTGTTTCTGACTTGCCAAGATCTTCTGATCTTTTTGACAGCTTCCTCTGTTGTCTCGTGACCTGCCTTGCAACTCATCCATCTTCCTTTACTTAGATTGCTCCCATCAATCAAATTTATTATACATATATTAATCCGGATATATGGGATAGGGGAATAATCTCGAGTTTTACTCCATTTGAATCCAGCTTACATGAGAATTTTATTCGCCAAATTGTTCTTGAAGCTATAATAATCTCAGTGTGGGATGATTAAATCTCAAAATGAGCTATCAAGTTTGCAGATTGGAACGAAAAGGCGAAGCCAATTCATCTCCACGAACCCTTTTCTTCTAATTAAACGAAAAGGCGTGTCGGAGGCATGTGATGTGAATTCAATTCCTGTAATTAGCTTCGAGACACACCAATATTAAAATGTTCACTAGACTTAGACCCATCATTATTTTGAAACGGATAGTTGCTTTTCTTGTATTGTTTTTCTTTTCTTCCAATCAAGTAGAGTGCAGAGGAGCGGTTGTTGGGTCCGTTTGAAAATGATACCCCCACATATTCCGTATGCCTTGTTTAGCACTTCATCTTCTTCCTATATAATCCCTCCCTTCACTTCCCATGTTTTCTCATTGGGTTTTCTTTTCTTCTGCGAGGTCCAGTACGCCTCGCAGAAACCAGAAAAGAAAACCCACCAACTGCTTGACGAAAAGCCTCATCCTCTCTTCTTCTTTGCTTCTCACACTGTGATTACTGATATTGGTGTTCTGAGATGGAGGTGCATTCTCCAGTTATAGCTAAGAGAGCATGGAACGTGTTGAGGATCACCTTCTTCATGATGAGGAAGGGTCTGATCTCGAAGAGGAAGCTGGTTATGGACATGAACGTGATGATGAAGAAAGGGAAGCTGCTGAGGAAGTCTCTGGGCAATCTCATGTCGTCCCATCTTCATCATCACCATTCAAGGAGCGTGGCACGTGGTCGCTTTGGCCTACAGGAATACGAATTCTCTTGCAGCAACAGTCCTACTCCTGTTTTTTTCCACGTCCCAAAGCGCAAGCACCATTTCAACTTCCCCTGCATCAACCCTCCTCAGGTAATTGAAGAAGAACCCAATAAGGCTATGGTTTTGGTGCCCAAGACCCCAGAGTACACCTTCAACTTCAGGTTTGACGCGTCTTTGTCTCCTGGAGATAGAAGGAGCCCAATTCAGTCGCCATTTTCTGTGAGGATTTCAGATTATTCATCAGAAGATGAAAACGAAGAGGGTGGGAGTGATCAAGTTGATGATCAGGCTGAGGATTTCATCAGAAGGTTCTATGAACAGCTAAGGATGCAGAGCCGCATGCAATTACTAGAGTACCAAGAGGTGTAAAGACAAGGCGTATAAACGTTTAAATGTAATCCTTATCTTTACATCTTGACACTAATCCTCTGGAAACCTCCATCTATGAAACTGGATTGTCCTGTTTGTAATTCATTGTCTGTTTTTGTTCAATATGTGAAGTTTTTATGTATCAAATATTTTTCCACTCTGTAACATTCCCATATTGTAACATATAATATTGTGTTTACCTATTAACAAAGTTGTTCTTTGTCTGGAAAAATTAGGGGTAATCAATGAATGAACTGTAGTTTAGGATATACAGAAAAGCTGGCTTTGGTGTGCCATCAAATTGTTGGTGCGCTGGTGGACCTTCTGGTATAATGTCTCCTTCAGCTTTTGAGAACCGACCACCTAAACAACTCGCTTTTTTTTTCCCCTTCTTGTTTTTCATCGAGAAACCCAGGACCACATGTTAAATTCTACAGACATGTAAAATATTATTAATAAGTTAAAGATTGCTACCAGTTTCTGCTTAGTTGTAGTTTTGTTTTCCTGTGAACCATGAAGGTATCAGACTGATATTTTAAGGGTAAAGAATCATGGAATAAAAATAGCAGTATAGAGGACTACAGACCATATTCTAAGGATCACGGTCGGTGTTAAAGATGTTTTAGCTGTCAGAACCAGTGGATAACTGGATATACTCACAATCCTGAATCTGAATTATCATAAACAAGTATTTATAATTTTATATATGAATATAAGTATGCAACGCAAACTGCTTACATAATTCTAACAAAATTGAAAAGGGAAAAGAAAATCCTAAAGCCATCAGTTCAAAACAAAGCAGCAATATCCCAAGAACCAGAAACAGGGACATAGGCGTATCAATATCATTACTCAGTAGTTTACCAAAAAAAAAAAAAAAAATCAGTACTCAGTCGTTAATCACCAGTCACCACCTCGGACTCCAAGGATGCTGGAAATTCGGGTCTGATGCCCACCCATGGGCTTCCGGCCTTACCGGCCCGTAGAAATGCGGTCCGTAGGTTCCCATAGGCAGAGGCGGTGGCGGAGGCGGAGGCGGATATGAGTAATGCATCGGGAACGGCGGCGGCGGCGGCATAGATAGTGCTGTCGGCGGAGGTGGATACGGAGGCGAGATATGTGAGAAGTGGCAATGATAATCCGCAGCCGACGGCGAAGAAACAAGCGGTAGCGCCGACGCAGAATTGAGGCCCCCGTCGATGGGATCCGCCGCCGGTAACGTCACCATCGGATAGCTGATTCTATCACCACAAAATACGCTTTGGATTTCCGAAGTGGAAGTTTGAATGCGTGAATTATTCGGAGAATTGTGACCTGTTAGAGCCGGATCTAGAAGAGGGTACCCGGTGATCTTACCTTCAACATTTTCCGACGAAATGCGAGTCTCAACTCCCTTGTTGTCAATCACTCTGTAAGAGAAATTGAAAATCCCATTGGGCTTGCCTTCACTATTGCGAACCTCATAATTCACGAAACGAATCACACCAGGAGTAGGGCCGGCTTCAAGGATCAGATTCTTGAGAGGCACGCGGACCTCTCCGATGAGCTTGTCTCCAATTATGAGTCCGTCATGGCGGAATTCGAAATGGAGGAAGAGGTCATCGCAATCATGAATCGAAACCCAACTCAAAGAAAATTTCATGACTTGATTCCATTCGGGATTCTCATTACCTTCCTTATCTGTACAAGTTTTCTGTTCCTGCGCCTGTTTCTCATCCAATTTTCTCTTGGGATCGGTGCTATGAATGTACACGAGTGTGTATATCGTGAGTTTCTGAAAAAAGTTGAAGTTTTTGAGGTCTTTACAGGAAATAATCTTGAGCTCTATAGAGCTAGGTTCCATTGTTGAGACACTACCTGTCTGAACTTCTTGAATATCGCTTCGTTGCAAGGGCGTTGAAGCTTTATAACGTGTTGGTAGCCCCAGGCACGTGATTCAGCTTGACGGGTTTGATCGGAAGGTGTTGTCTTGTAGTTTACATCTACATCACCCATTTCTTTACGCGCAGGGCAGAAAAGCAAGTCGAGCAACAAACGTCTTCGTGTTTAAATACATTCTTTCAAGGGATTTTGGCATTTACCGAGAAGTTTCCTTGTGTTTTGTCAGAAAGTTTCCGGTCTGTAAAAATCAGAGAACTAGGTCACATCTCGCCAGGCATTGCTGATAGGTTATCCGTTTTCCTATTGGCTCTTCTTGATATGAACTTTCTAGTTTTTAATATAAGAGTAAAAAACTTGCTTATTCTTTTTCATCACTTGTCCACCCTACATTTTTCCCAAAGAAAAAGTTACCTCAATTTGACCTGATTTGAACTAGCGACCTTTTCCATTCAATGGTGTCTCGGTACCCCCGGGTCAATGACCGATAGGCCTCTTACATTGACCTGACCATGTAAGACCATTCTTGGTCGTGACAAAAAACTATGAACAACTATTTAGCTACTAGTTAAAAATAAATTAAATCGTTTCTAAATAGAGACTTTCTTTTTCCTTCATGCAAAACGAGATTATATTTTTCAGGTAAAAAAAAAAAAAAGAAACAAGAACTTACAATATACAATTTATTTTTCCCCCAACTTTTTTGGGATATAACACGGAAGCTCTTCAGAGCCATGGAAATACGGGTAAAAAGAGAATCCAATCTTTTTTCTCTTTTTTCTTTGAATTGGAAGGAGGCTAAGCTAGCCTTTGTGGGGATTGTACCTACCACCTCCCCTGTACAAGGGGATCACTTTGCCACTAGAGCAATTCACCAAGTGCAAAGAGAATCCAATCCTATAGACTGTAGCTACAATTTTAGATCAAGGAGTCGTAGGGGGACTAGAACTAGATTCTAGCAAGGTCGCCGCATCATCGACGGAGGGGACATCACTCCAACCAGAATTCCTCATGGCCAAAACCTTGGACCGTTCAAGCCCACTACCTCTAAATTCGGTCATTCTTGACGACATCATTGGCATCACAAGAACAGAAGATGCATGTATCGTGTCCTCCCCAAAACCTACAGACGCACTACAAGCAGTCTGCAAACAAAGAGAAGCTCACACAGACATGGTTATTCACCAAACCGTAAGACAGTACCAGAATAGAATGACAGGGTATATAGTTATACCTTTGCTTTCACTAGCATGCCAGTAATCTTCAGTAGCATTCTTTTTGCAAATGATTTCGTGTCTTTGCTCAGTGCCTCTTCAGATGAGGCTTGCGGCCTTCAACAAATACAAGGGGGATGAGCATTTATTGAAAATAAACCATGATAAGACGCATGTTTCTGACAATCAATGAAAAGACTACGAAGTTAAAAGGAAAATATGGTTCATATGCTTTCATAAATTATACAAACAATTTCAAGGGACTCTTTCCATTTGTAGAAGATCAATGCAGAATTGCAGATTGGTGGTTCACTTTCTCACAAATTAACCCTTCCTCCCCAACCCACATTGAAAAGAATTTATGACGACACCCAGTTACCTGTTCATTTCTGTTGAAATGCCAGAAGAAACCTTGGAATCCAAAAAGCTATCCTTAACCTCAGCGCCTGCAATTTTTTTCCACAAATAATTACATATTATCTCCTGCATCCCATGAATAGGTGTATATAAGTTGAACATAATAATCACAAACTTAAAATACCCCTGGAATCATCAGGTGCCAGCAAACAAATGCCAATGAACACGCACATCATTCCAAGTATAAACATCGTTGTCCTTAATGCATCAAATACCTGCTTTCAAGAAGAAAAGAAAGTTAGTTTTGCATGATGACTAATTTCATTATGCAAAAAATTCAGCATCATTCAAATAATGATTTCCAAGGTCAAAACACTGTCTTATAGACACCTATCACAACATAGGATTCTCCTCCTCCAGGGTAGTTGTCACACAACCAGCTTGATAAAAATCATGGAGTGCCTCAGCTATACGTCTCAAGTCTGAACATTAAGAGGAACGTTTTGCAAGCTAGTAGTCAGGTTTTTCTCCCCAAATTTTCACCTTTTCCAATTGAGGAAAAAAGCAACAATAGTGGGAAAAATATTAGATGCAGACAGTTTCCCATTGTATCAGAGATTTGCAATATAAATAAAAAAACTCGTTTTCAGAGATCTTCAAACCAAATAAAACACCATGTACTGCTGAAAGGATTGAACTTTGAGAAATACTGAAGTCCACCATGCGTTGTTTGTTCATCAAAAACCCAAAGCAAGATGACTTGCTTCCCCAAAAATTTAAATAAATTTTATTGCTTTATTTGATGAATTTTCTCTAAATAGTTACGTTTTTGGTAGGATTCCCACTATAGTAATTTGATAATGATGGTCAACGTCCATTGATATGACATACAGACAATTCAGAAGAGAGTGGAGTACCTGATATTCTTGAAAATATACAAATCCTGTACAGATGGAGAAGAAAGTCCAAGCTATCTGAAACATGGGAACAATGAGAATTCCATCAAATAAGGACAGCCCTTCATTCAACCTTGTCATCTGCACACATAGAAATACCTGGGTTAGCATTCATCAGAACTTGGTCATCATCTGTTCGAACTTGATAACATCTGCCGAGGAATAGAAAAAATAACCACATTGACTTAGTTTTACCCAAAACCCAGCTGTGCTAAGGAAAAAAAGAAGCATGGAATACGTAAACCAGCTTTGCAACTGGTAACCACTGGACATGGCTCGTCGTAGGAGGTTAGAACTGCCAAAATACGTGACATTAGAATAAGGTGAACAGCTATTGAATCAGAAAGCAAAATGACATGGCAGTGAAGCTAGCTTACAGAGATTTGGCAAATAACACTGAGCACGAACCTATAGCACCAGAAACTACTGCATAAGAAAATGAGAGTAGCAGGTGACAATAGGGCCTGAGGTCTTGTCCAGCTATGGCAAGCAAAAGTCCTCCTCTCCTGCAATTCACAAGCTAATCATAACGAAGGAGATTCCTTGATAGATTAAACTAACAGCAAACAGTTAGATTTCTCACATCACCTGTAAATGTTGTGATGCAACGCAACAACTAAAATCAAAACTATGAGATAAGCAAGAAATGCAACATTGGTGTATTTTTCAGCCAACTGCTCCGGTGTATACACTGAAAAACAATTATTCAACCAAACATGAGCCTGATACCATCAAAAGATATTGATTAAACATAATTGTTTTGATGTCTTATTATATAAACTGCAAGGTTCGAAGAAATGAAATTAAACATTAACCCACGGTGAGCACAAATAACCTATTAATTTGATTGGAAATTATAATGGAAGAACAAAAATGCTCCCTCGTAACTTTCACACATGAAAAGCTTTGCATAATTAAAGCTGGCAGTTTTCTGAAAAGTGCCTTCTGATATCATCAAATATTCAACTGCAGATAATTAAATATACTTGATAATATCTTAAAGCACAAACTGACCATCAGCATGACGCCACCACCTTTCCAGGGAACAATCAGGCAGAATTTAATTGCACCAGGCTAAAGCATAATGCCAATAAACATTTTCTTAAGGAGAACATAAATTAAAATGAAAACAAGACACATACCAGGGGATTGGTGATTGCCAAATGCCACTAGAAAGATGTTTCCAAGAACTATGAAGGCTGTGGCAATGAGTACCCTGTTCAAAACACAAAAATCAAGGCCCTAGAATTCAGATCCCTTTGGCCAAAAAAAAAAAGAAAAATTGAAACAATAATATTAAATCAGATTTCTCATACTTGACAGTGACCATTTTTTTCAAGACAAAATACGCAAATGCTATGTTAGATACAAACTGAACAGATCCCAGGGCTGCAAGAAGTGACTGCACGACAGACAGAGCAAGCAAAAGTATTCAGGAAGAATAAAATGCACCCGCATTATCAAAATCATATTATTTAGCCTCAATAAAATGTACCAAACAACCAAACCATAAAAAATCATTGCATGCATCATAAACATTTTTCATACTTTGAGATAAAAATCCCAATAAAAATAGAAAATTTACCTGAGCAGCATACCCAAAGGAGATGAAATTTAGGCAATTTCCAAGAATGAAAAAGACAATACCTGCATGCCAAGAACCATGCAATCAGACCAATACTAGTGCTAGGAATCATGAACAGGGTTATTACAAGCAAAACTTGTATATAAATGCAGCTAGAACATACCACATTATAGGCTTCAGGGGTGGACTTCCATTTGCCCCATCACTTCCAAGTCCCAAGTGCTTTTCTCTCTGCAAAAAATATAGCTCAACCTCTTCGTGTTTTCCAAGTAATTTGTAATTGAAAAAAAAAAAAATTATGATCGTCGCCACAAATTGCACATACTGCAAACTAACACTGAAATTCAAAGAAGTTTATGTCAGGAACTGTAAACAAGCCTCGAATCCAACTGGTAATCTTTCCTGATCAGACAAATCATGACAAATATATTTTATCTACAGCATTCCAGTCTTAAGACCTGATGTAACATAGATACAGAAGAGGTAGAAAAGCATACATTAACCAATTGTTATGCTAGTTGAAATATGGAAGGGGAAAACATTGGCCAAGCGAACAGTATAATCACAAAAAGGAAGTAGACACAAAGGAGCATATCACAAACCATTCCAGCCAGAAGAAAGGATGCAATTTACCTCATCATGCCCTAATTTAAGAAGATTTGTTCCAAAGTTTATAGCAATGCTCCCAAAGAGGTTGATGAAAGCACCAATGATCCACTCCCCCATGGATAAAAGACGTGGTGCTAGGAATGAGACCCCACATGCAGCAGAAATTTTATGGGGCAATTCAGCATATGGTGGTTCTCAAATTGTGTGCGTAAGGCAGCACAGGGAGCCTTTCTTATTTGTGCCAAGTGGGCAGGAGGGCAATCTGACTTAGCAAAACAAATTCAGAACAGCAGTCTTGTGTCACCTACAAACATGATAAAAGGATTTAATCGAAGCTTTGCCGTCATATGATAATGTTCAGCACTGACAATTGATAAACAAGAGCTTATGTGAGAAGAGAAGATGAAGGAAGATTATAGGCTAAAAAGAAAATGTAGCTAGACGTAGCTAATTTGTTCGATTCAATTATGAACAAGACTAATTTGTCCGAGGGGCTGGCAGCACAATGCTGCTAATATCTGATCTTTTTTATTTCCAGACACAGAATAGCAGTTTAAACAAGAGTACCGACAACAAAAGAATCGAAACAAAATAATTAAAACTCAGTAGCATACTCTTGTAATCCAGATCTGATAAATTTATCAGGAAGCTGCACCCAAAATAACCGGTTCAACTCAATCCGGCACATAACGAAAAGAAAGCATTAACGAAAAAAGATTCAGAGACGACTCCCGAAGTATGAATAATTAGAAACCTTATTAGCTTTTTATCAAAAAAGAAACCTTATTAGCTTTTTAGAAAGCTGCTTACTTACCTCTCAGAAGAAACAAACTATCCCCTCCTTGGCGCGCGAAAACAAGCCCAGAAATTAAATTTCCCAATATCAACACTTCTCTCGGCCAGGTTTCACAGGGTCAGAGAATTAAAGATCCAGACGTAAGGGGAACAACTATAAGAATGTCAAAACGATTAATCTGTTATTATTATTATTTTGGCCAGAAACAGAGGTAGCAAGTTGAAATTTTCGAGGGATAAAAATATGAAAAAGAAAAACTTTTCTTGGTCCGTAATGATCCGAACTAGTGTGGACGAAAAAAGTTGATGATGCAAGAAACAACGGAGACGGAAGTTGATGAATGAATGCATGAACGAGGGATGGCCCAAAAAGGAGAAAACACTTCTTAAAAACTATTTATTACAGTAATTGAAAAATTTTGAACGATCAAAATTCATAATATATGTCTACGGAGCATGGACCTGCTGGTGGTCAAGAACTTTTCATTTAGTTGCTTTAACTAAAAAACAGTATAATATTTATAATCAGTGTTTGGTAAAAAACTAAATAATTTTTTTTTGGCCAAAGTAAACAGTGGATAGACAGCAGAAAAAATAATATAACTTATATTTTGATACGTACTTCGAGCAATATGACTTCCATCTTTTTTTTTTTCCTTGCTAGAAATCAACATTTTTATGCAATTAAAGAAATAGGTCATATTAATTTAAATTAGTAAAGTTCTTAATAAATTTTATACTTTATATTAATAATGTTTAACCTGCCTCTCATTTTGTAGGTGCATCGAGGATAACATAATTTAATACTTAAATATGGTTCCTGGCAAAAAAAAAAAAACTTAAATTCTTATTATAAATTGATTTTTGTCCAGAAGCCACAATCAAATTCAAGGAGCCAAGTCCACCTTGCTTACATCTGCCAGCAGTGATTTGCTTTAATAGTTCATTCATTATTTCGTTATTACTACTTATTAAAAAATGGTTAATTTTCCCGCTGGTTCATTTTAAAATACTGAATCACTATTCCTCGTCTCATCCGCGAGAGCGCGGGTAACAATATGATGCCGTTGTTTGCAGACGCATCAGCACCATCGCCGACGAAAGAAGGAGAAGGAGAAGAAGAGCTGTTTCCTCACAACGGTTATGATTACGATGCCGAAGACGACGCTTTATCTGGTGTAGTTTTGTTGAACGAGGAGGGATTCCCATTGGAACTCGCGGGCGAAGATGATGCGAAGAACGGAGCTGAAGGATCAGAAAAAACGCCAGGGAAAGGCGAATTCGCCGCTGATTTTTATCTCTGCGGAACCGATTGGTCTTGCTTGTTGCCGGAAGATTGTAGTGGCAGCGTGAAACTTAAGAGAGGGGATCTCGTTCACGACCCAATGCCTTCGGGGAAGAAGCTGAAGCAGGTCAATCTACTTCAGATTTGGGGCTTAAAGAAAAATAGCGATGAGGATTCTTTTTCTGCCTCCTCTATTGATTATAAACAGAGTCTAAGTGGTAATTTTGATGCTGGAGACGGGGGTGGTATTCTTTCTGGGAAGAAGAGTGTGAAGGCTGAAAGCTGGGAATCAATGTCTCGTGATGTTCAGACACATTCTGTAAAATCAAATCATTTTCGTGAGAGAATGAACAATGGCGACGTTAATCGGCGGTCTCCAGCCTGCCCCTTCTATAAGAAAATCCCAGGTGAAAGTTCTTTTAATTTTAATTTCCTTGTTCTTGCTTTTGATATTATTCAAGACATTACATTTGTTAATTACATTTGATGACTTGTACATAACAGTTCTGGGGGTCATTTGACTTTAGTCCCTGCAAGTACCACTGGCGTATTAGTATGTTTTGAAAGCAATTTGATCTAGTCTTTCCCCTGCTCTGATAGTCTGTAATGATAGGTTTTGGCAAAGATATAGTGTAGTCTGCGAAGTGCGCCAGTCTATTTTTCAAATGATTACAAACTTTGCCCTTCCGTGCTGATAAACATAGCATAATTGGTTAACTTAAGATTGAACTGCAAGGTTAGGACAATAGTTACGTTTTGAATTTTCACTTTTATAGCAGAGAAACGAAACAAAAAACGCCTGGGCAAACTACATTATCTAGTGAATGTTCTGAACTCAGATTCTTTGCCCACATAGGGACGGCATTCACTGTGGATGCATTTCGTTACGGGTGCATTGAGGGATGCTCAGCATACTTCCTTAGTCATTTTCACAGTGATCACTACGGTGGGCTTGGCAAGAAATGGTCACACGGTCCTATTTACTGCACTCCTCTCACGGCTCGCCTAGTTCAAATGTGTCTATCAGTAAATCCTTTGTAAGAACTTGGTATCTCATTTTCTTTTCCCTTGCTTTCTTTCTATACCTCTGCTGTTACTCATACAAACAATGTTTTCAGGTCAAGGTTGGTCTGATCAAGATTTCAGTTAACTCTTATGTTTCTGTTATTCTGAATGTAGGTATATTTGCCCGTTGGAATTGAACATCAAACAAGTAATTGAAGGCGTTACAGTGACATTGCTAGAGGCTAACCATTGTCCCGGTGCAGCTTTGATTCACTTTTATCTACCAAATGGGCAATGCTATTTGCACACCGGGGACTTCAGAGCTTCTAAACAGATGCAAGATTATCCCCTTCTTGTAAATCAACATGTGAATATACTTTATTTGGATACGACGTATTGCAACCCAAAGTATAAGTAATACTCTGCTCTTGTCAATAGTTTGATTAAATATTGTTATTTGACAATGGCATTGACTCATTGGGTGTAATAACATTATTTAACTATTCTCAAATAAAAAGTCTTCTGTTTCAGATTCCCTCCACAGGAAACTGTACTAAACTATGTTGTTAAGATCACAGACAATCACCTGAAAAAGCAACCAAGAACTTTAGTGGTTGTTGGGGCATATAGTATTGGCAAAGAATGTGTTTATCGTGCAATTTCCAAGGCACTCAAGGTACAAGGTCTTTTCTTTTTTACAGATAAGAACTTCATTTATCGCTTTCATCCTTCATCCCTTGCTTGTCATTATCATTCGAGTTCATATGAATGGATGCGAATACCAAGAGATTTGTTGTTGGCATCTTGCCCTGTTGAGTGCTGACAATTTGAAGTTCACTTCCGTCCTTTTTTTCCTTTGCATGACAATTTAAGGTTTGTGTGTTCTAGTTGTCAAAGTTGCGTTATGGGTAATAGATCTTAGCAATTTGGATGCAGGATGTGACTTGAAATAGCAAATAGATCAACTGACAATATTATGTCTGCTCGTAGGTATATTCTGTTACAGTGACATGCTAAACCCAGAACTTTTCTTTTCAGGCAAAAATTTATGCAAATGCTTCAAGAAGACGAATTTTGCAAGCTTTTGGTTGGTCTGAGCTTTCAGATAGCCTCTGTACCAATGGAAATAACACATTTCTTCACGTTCTTCCCATGGCATCTCTGAGATTTGAGGTCTAATTCCTAATCTTTTAGTCTCAAAATGCTGAGCTTTTTAAGTTCGTTAACCGTTTTGTAATTATCTATCCATAATTTTTCTTGTTGCATTAGAGATTGAAGGATTACTTGAAGACCTACGAGGATCAATTCACAGCAGTGTTAGCATTTCGTCCAACAGGTTATGCATTTCCTGTTTATGCAAATATTTTGAGTCAGCGTGTTTTAACTTGTATACAGAGATGCCATAGGCACAAGTACATGGAATAACGCAAATCTACATATACATGTGATTTCATTATTCAGGTTGGACTTTCAACCAGAAGATAGGCAACCATCTGGAACTAATTAAACCCATTTCTAAGGGCAATATCACGATATATGGTGAGAAAAGTTCTAATTCAACATTCATATCACACGCACACACACATACAGAGACAAATTCACGTATGATATATAATAAGAACTTGTGAAGGATGTTATTTCTTTCTAAGATACCTCGAAGTATTGTATGCAATCATGATTATTCATGTTTAAAGCACCTGCATTTGCTGAGATTTTGAGAATGGTCATGGTCTTGGCTGATCATAAAGCTATCTTCATCAAATCTGACTATTCTCTGCTGGTCTTATGGTAGTTTTTTGTCAAGAAGAGTTTATAAATCTCGTTTCTCTTTGTAGGGGTTCCCTACAGTGAGCACTCCAGCTTCACAGAACTGCGAGAGTTTGTTCAGGTGGATATTGCATTATACTTTGTACATGACTTACAATACTCCACGTTTGATAAAATCATGTTATGTTATCTACATAATTAAATTGTTGTCAAATTTAATTTTTCAGTATTTGAAGCCTGATAAGATAATCCCTACCGTGAATATCTGGAATGAGGCCAACCGTGAGAAGATGAAATCCTACTTTCGAGACTGGTTGAGAGGCTAATGCTTATGCACTTTGATAAACTGGGTTCGTAACCCGGGATCTCCTTGCCCCATTTATATGGGAAATTCAAATATTTTCCGCTGGTTGCACTGTGTAGAACATGGTTCGTCAACTCTGGCTGCGCCTTAGGGGCTCAAATGCTTAAGGATGACGTCACGGTTGATTACATTGCCGCATTAAATGGCCACATCGCTTCCAGCCTACCACTTTTCCTGCATGCTTCAAGTTCTGCTAAGGAATACTTCGCATTTGTTGTAAAATTAGGATTCAAAGGACATCCTCCTCGTGGAACATCCAGCAATTCTATTCAAGAGAAACAAAGAAAATGGAATATAAGTTGTTCTATTTCTTACGCTGACTTTTTTTTTTCCGGTTATATTGCAATGTTAGAAGCCCACCTAATGGGAAAAAGCTTATTGTTGTTATATTGCAATGTCAAAGGTGATATTTTTTCTCAATGCACTCCAGGAAAGCAAATTCTGCCAAGATTTCAGTGTGACTCAATTATGGTAGAAGTATAATAGAAGTTCCATTTGCATGTAATAGAGATTAAGGTAGTATAAGATGTCCAAGTATACTTTGTGTAATATGTGTAGGAGAAAAGATTGTGTTAATTTTCTTACTTTAATAGCTAGCTTTTGAGGAGAAATTTTTTACCACACTAAAACACACATCAATATATCAAGTGACATTTAGTTCCCAAGAGGTGGCATGATTTGATGTAAATGATTATGGAACATTTATTTTTTATATGAATTTGATAACACAATCTTCCGAACCAAAAGCAGAGTAATATTTAACCATTTTTTGCACACAACTTAGCGCCCAAAACGGAGACTAGGACCGCATTCAATCAACACATTCTTGACCCTTGACTACTTAACATCATCTTTATTTGGGGTTATTGGAGCTTAAAATTTATCAAGCAATGAAACATTGATATTGAACCACGTGTCGATTATTGTCTTCAATCCATTTATTCAAATGCATTCCTTTTCTTTAAGTTTGCGCTTAGCGTGTTGTGGAATGGAGACTTCACAATAGTTGATTAAGAAGTTAATTGCTCCTTGATCAAATCCAAGTACATTCATGGCCATGACTTCATTGTCTTACCGGATCTTGATCATGCATTAAATAGCAAATAGCAATCATTGGATTTGAAAAGGTAGAATATTATTGAAGAACCCTTAAAAGAATTTAAAACCAGGGACTTCTAACATGCAAGCATTAACAATTAACAAGTTCAAGTTTTAACAAGTATCTAATCCGTCCAAATCTTCATTAGGCATAAAATTCTTTGAGGAGTTCCATTGATATTCTCTAAAAAAAAAATGACCGCTTAACAGCATAAAATAAGGGGCAGCTGAAGATAAAAACCACAAAAAATGAAGTATAATACAGGTGCCCAAGAGATAAAACAATTGAACCAAACACTGCGATCTTTTAATGTGGCTTTTATCAAATTTGTGTCCTTAGATGTGATTTTCCCCATAAAATATGTCCTGCAGAAAACAGAGTTATGAAAGAAAGCTCCCCTATAGATGTCAAGAAGAAGAGGCACAAAATGAGATCCAGCAAAATACTCTTAACTCTCTACTTATACATTAGCTTCATCAAGGTGCCATTACTTAGTAGTACTGTGGAACTGTGAGCAATTGTGCCAGTATAATTACTCACAATTCCACAGAATTGAGTATAGAGTGAAAATAGGTAATTCTGCTGCACTTACAGAGAGATAGGGAGAATCGAATCTTTGTAAAAATTCGTAGAATCAGATAGAGCTGGATGCAACCTCACCAATGGATCAATTGCCCAGCTAAGGGGATAGCTGAAAATAATGGAATGTAACCATGTCCATTTTTTTGGGCACCAAACAGGATATTTTTTAAAAGGGAAAACACTTCAATATTAACAACTCATCGAGAAGATCAATCAACCAAATTCTCAAGTTTTTTATGTAAAAAGTTATCTGGCAGCTCCAGAAGCTACGTTATTTTCAGATTATGCCAGCCTTGAAGTAACTTATTCAACTAGTCGTACTTACCCACTAATACAATTAAGCCCTTCCCATTATGGTAAGCCAGTGAGTCATACCACAGCTTCTTCAGCACACATCTTTCTGCTGAAATTCTTGAAAAGGATAGTGTTCTTTAATGTAGGAACTTTGAAAAACTAAAATCCTCCATATTTACTCAACTTAGATTCTAGAGCAATTTTAAGCATCCCAGGATAGCATGATCACAAATTGATGATTATTTGTGCTACCAATACATTGCAGATCATCTCTTTTCTCAGACAACAAGAAGCAAAACTAAAATCTTATACACAGATTTGAGTTTCAGGGAAGAATCAAGCCGTTTACAGATTTTGGTTAGACAGAGATTGCAAATCATAAATGCATGCAGTGCATCTAAAAACAGTGTAGCTCTGAGGCCAAAATATGTGCAAAAGGAATCATCTGACGTAGAAAGAGTATAACAGTAGTACTCATAGACGGAAAATAAATTATTCAGAGAATTGAAAATAAGAGAATTGTGTCTTATACATGATTCTATATCCACCAAACAAGTGTGTAATAAAGTCCTCAACTAATTCATCTTTAAGTCCCTCATTTACCAAGGTGAATAACACCGCATCATTTATAGCATACTGAAAAAAGATAAGGCGGAGGCAATACCAATAAAGGTATGAAGAAAGACAAAGGAACAACCAATCAATCTCAATATTCAAGCTTTTGTTGTATACACAAGGTCCATTTGTTTTGAGCAGACTACAGTATCCATGAATGCATATATTGTAACTCTGCTTCGAGATCATTACCTAACAAAACAATCATACTACAGAAGAAAGAAAAAAAGCAATGGCAAAAGAAAAGCTAATAATTTAAAAGGCAAAAGGTAGTAAAAGATTCAAGCCTGCGTGCCAGTTAATGCTTTCATCTGGATAATACTACTATTTTCTGAATGAGATGAAGGGTTAGGCAAGCTATCGTAAGACCCAAATCTCCTGATGCCCACACATTTCGAAATGCCTGCATGTATGATCATGACAATGAACACCACAAGCATCACGTGGACCAAAAAAATAAGATCCAGAATAGCCGTAGCTCTCAACTTGGATTCCTCGAGTTCGCACTTGGTCGACCCCTCAACTCCATCAACCACATCAAGCAAACGATGACAACCGTCAGGGATAAAAGCATCAACATAAAGAGTCAACCCGGTCTGAAAAACCCAGAGGCCCTGCAAGAAGATAGCAGCTCCCAAACCCACATCCGCGGCGAAGAGCTTGGGCTGAAAAGCGAGAACGAGACACGTTAGCGCAGCGAACGCGGAAATCCTGGCAGAAACGGAGTCGCATTTGGCCTCGAGATCGGAAACCTGGACGGAGGCGGTGGCAGTAGCAACGGAGTATTGCAAGAAGAAAAGAACAGAAGCGAGAGCGAAAATGAAATCGTTGGAGAAGGGGAGGAAGGAGGATTCGGAAAGGAGAAGACAGAAAGCAAGGATGATAAAGAGGAAAATAACGGCGGCGAATTGGAGAGAGATGAAGCGGTGAACAGGCGTGTGACCTTTGACGAGAGGGTCAGTTTCAGCGGAAATGAATAGTTGATGAATGAAGGCGACGACGAGAGCGAGGATGATGACGTAGAGAGGGAGATGACGGAGGCGGTGGTGGTGGGGAGAGGAAGAGGAAGATGGAGGGAAGGGATGGAGGGGTTTGGCAGAGTAGGAATGAGGAGATTTGAGGTGAGATAGGGCGGCGGAGACAAGATGGTAGAGACCGAGCGACACCAAGCCCAAAGACGAAAGCAAATTATACAAAATGGCCGCCATTGACGACGAAGGGTACGAACAAGCGGCTTCCTTTTCCTTCCTATCAATGAAAATGAATTCAGCAGACAGAGGAAGCGTGACCTGATGTGGAAGTGGGCAATAGTGGATGAGAGAGAAGATCACAGGGATTCATAATTTCATATTTGATTGAGATCTTGAGTAGCAGAAGCTGAGTCCTGAGTACTCAAGCTCACCGATTGTTTTCATGATGACTTCGCTCAATTCTCAAAAACAGGCCTTTTTGTTTTTTTAACGTTGGCCAAAGAAAAAAACTATATATATATATATATAGGGAGAGACCGGAAAGGTCATGTCCATATTGGATAAGACAGAAAAAGGCAGTGACCTGGGTCCATGGCCTCCAGGCCAATGCGAGTGGATCGATGTTCTCTCCTTCGTTGCATTCAGATTTCAGAGCATCTTCAAGCTCTCGCGCAGGCTGGAGAGGAGGATGACGAGTTACGGTGCTTTCGCGTCGTCGAAGCTCTCGTTTTTTGTCCTCTAGACTAGACGGCGTTATGTATTTTCTTTTCTATTTCATTCTTTTTTTTTTTTTAAAACCAATAGAAGGGATCATGTGAAATTCCATTTTCCACCTCAACGTTGTCGTGTACTTCAGGAATCCAATATTGTGCCACAGCAGCAATATCATACACCGTTAAGCTTCCTCAGCAATTTTAAGATTCGGAAATAGTAAATATAAACTTCAGGGCTTAATTCTACAACCATCTAAAAACCACAAAATACTATAAGAGTTAATTTAAATATTTTTAAAGTGCGGTGATATATTTAAAAATCAATGTAAATTATAGCAACTAAATGAATAATTTATCTTCAAATATATTAGCGTTGTTTTCCTATAAACAAGTGAATTGATCTCCTTCCCGACCAAAAATATCACGCGTTACTTTACAAATTACACAGAATTCTCCAAAGCAGGCGACTTGATCGAAAGCTTGGACGTATCAGCCATAAGAGAGATGAGGTAGAGACTGTCCTCACCTTTCTCGACACAGAAAATGAATCTCGAATGTTTTGGAGTGACATTTTGAGGCATTGAAGGAGTAAACACTGAAACAGGTCACTGTTGCCTTCTCATTCATATTGGAAGCTAGGCTGCTGCGTGAGGCTTGCAAATCAAAAGCACAGTCATCTGAGAGGTGTCTGTAAGACTGGTCTCCATGTACACACAGTCATCTGCATGATCAACTGGAAGTCTCAATTTGCTCTCTTGTCCTGTTCTGCCTAGTCCGGCATGCAGGCTGTCTTGGTTTGCATTGGCTAGAGTCAGATTCCTGGATTTCAATCGAATAGTTCAATTCCAAATTTACATATTTTGATGGGAGAATTGTTTGGAGTACTTTACACAAAACAATCTAGTATTTTATGAGGGCGGGCAGTGAAGCATATAGTTCAGCCAGGCATTGAAAGGTCCAGTTAAGGAGTTGTTCTTTTGGAAGCTCTAAGAGAAGTTCAGCCTGCATGGGGCATATCATGGGAAAACAAAACACAGTAGAGAAGCTTGATTACAACCCTTGGAGAAAATAGGAGGGCAAATTTAATTACATTACATTAAGACATTTCCTATTTTCCTCTTGGCATTAGCATGGAAGATGAGAATTCTAATGATGCAAACTGACAAAGGGGGAAAATAGACTGAAAAACATTACCTTAATTCGATCTCCCTCGAGAATCAAGGAATTTCTATGCAAATCTGATGCCATCGACTGTGTCATCAGCTTGAAAACCTTTTTGCTTATGTTTGTTTTCATAAAGACCGTCTTTCCAGTGGAATAAATTCTGGTTACTCCTATATCAGCCGCCATTCTTTTCACATAAAGCTTCTTCAATAAAATCTCCATGGAGTAAGGCTCTTTGCCATATTGGCGGCGCAGGTTTTCGGTAAATTGCATCAGACACCAGATGTCTTTCCCAGCTGCTCTCTCAGCTGCATCTAATATTTCCATGGGGTTCTCCAGATAATTTATGTAGTCAGAAGGGAGATGAGGATTGATGTTTATATCAACCTAGAATAATTAGAGGGTACAAACATGTATCAACATTGAGGTCTCTGTTATACAAGGCAGATATTTTATCTTAACTCACACAAAAAGATATACTATATAAGAAAATAAATAATTCAATATGAAGAAAAGCTGAATTTAACTCTCGAAAATATTGTTGCTAATCTGGATATGACTACGTTGCATAATTTTGCATTTGGTTGATTATTTGGTTGCCCCTAGTGCAGTAGAATATTAATTTCCTTTGATTAAGAAAGAAAAAATAGTGTCCAACAATGCACGAAAACTGCCATTCAAATGAATAAGGGATTATATATTATTGCAACAGTCATTCTGTAAATATGAATTTTTGCATACAGATGGATAATTTTTATTTCAACAAACAGAAGACAGATAACAAGATAAGACATCGCCTGAGTTTTTTACAGGAAAATCTTCAACATTGCAATATATTTTATCATTTTACATTTCTCTGTTTCACTTCAAGTGGAAGAAAAAACGTGTCAACTTTGACTACTATAAATTTCATTTTAAAGAACTTAATTCTGAAAAACATGTATTAAGCTTCAAAAATGCCCGTGCGTATGCTTCCATGGAACATCATCATCATCATCATTTATTTCCAATAAGCATACCTGAACTGACTGATAAGGAACTGAAACTACACGATGATCATCCACCTGTAAGTTTAAGGAGAAAAAAAGCATGAATCCCCAAATATAAGCAGAAGATCAAGAACTAGGGAACATAATGTTCAGAAAACAAGTTTCTATTAATAAACAGTGCTTGCAAATCAGAGAAAAGGCATCAAGGTTGAAGTACGTAGATGGGAAAAAAAAGAGGATGAGTCAAATTTGACCTTGGACAAGCTCTCAAACAGCATCTCAAAGAAAAGATCAATGCCAACATTACCAACATCTCCTGTTTGTTGTTCACCAAATATAGTACCAAAACCTCTTATACCCATGTCTCGCTCAGCTAGTTGGAAGCCTTGACCAAGTTCACGACATTCTTCAAGAGCCGCGAGTCTCTCCTATAGAAAAATTGCTATTAGAATATTAATTTTAGGCAAGATTTATGCAAGTTCATTTCTATATTTTATGTCTAAAAACTCAAGTAAAATTCTATGAATGCTAACAAGGGAGTATGGAGCACTTGGTGAAATGAATTTATTCATAATGTAAAAACTCAAGCATCTCCTGAGATAATGAAAGGTAAAGATTAGACAGAAGCATACCAGTGCTTGATCAGAGAGAAGGGATTTATCAGGATAAAATAAATGTGCATAAGCTTCCTTGTCTGCCCGCCCAACTCTTCCACGCAACTATAAAAATTTTAAAAATTAAAAGATCAGCATTAGAAAGTTTAAGTTCAAAATTGCTCATCTATAATTTTGCACCTCCACCACCACATGGCCTCCTAAAGACTGCCCACATTCAGGTTCTTGACCAATGATCACTCATGCACTAAATAATGAATATCGAAAGCAAAGACTGGAAACAAGTTTAATGCCACAATGAGATGAAACGGAATCATTCCAGTAGAAACCAAAGTATGAACTTAAAAAATGCACAACCATGTTACTGATCTTCACACAGAAATATTAGCTAAAGCCTCATTTATCAATCACGTGCCACATGGCCATATTAACATGATCTTTCCTTTTAAGTAAACGACAAAGAAGACATGACATGTGGCCATATCCAATTAGAAATGACTCCAAAGGATGGATTTTAGGAAGAACAAAACCTGGTACAGCTGTGCAAGGCCAAATTGTTGAACATCCTGAATGATGATGGTGTTTGCATTTTGAATGTCAAGCCCACTTTCTACTATATTGGTGCAGATAAGAATCTTTATGTCACCTTGTGCAAATTTTTCCATGGTATCCTCCAGTTGCTTTGAGTATTGCTATGACAGGAACACATAAGTTTAATTAGTAGGCAAGGTAGATGCGTAGTGAGCATTGGAATGGAAGGCACACAAGTCAATATATAAAATATAAGAAAGCCCGAAAGCAGCATCTTTTTCTTTTTCTCTTTAACAAAAAACAATGATTTATTGATGATAAATTAACATTTAAAATAACTGATAACGCTTTGTCAAACAATTATCAGCATGCACCCAATAATGGGGTAAATGCATTTGGCCAAATATATGGGCTTCAGACCTAAGTAAGAGATGCCACATTATTGTCTCTCATTTGAAGATTTGAGAAAGATCAGAACAGCCTGAAAGATCCTCAATATTTCTTAACACCTTCTGAAATCTCTGATAAAGATAACTTCCATTTATCAATGGAAGCACTTCTGAGAAAGACATTATTTTATTTGATATTTAACTCCAGAATATTTCTTGGAGGAATGTTTGTTAGTCCTACAAGTTCACATGAGATGCAGCACTGGATCTACAAAACAAGCATCTACCTTCCCATGGGCAATGGCTATTTCCACATTTGGGAATGACTCTTCAAGAAATTCCATCACTTCTTCAAGTCCTGTAACATAAGAATGGTAGAGATATTAGAATCAAATGACTGAAAGCCTACAATATAGACAAGTTAGCAAATATATCCCAGACAGCACCAATGTGTTGTATAGTCTAGTTTTAGGTCTTTGATTGAGTGTCAAGAATAGATAAAAAAATTTTTAGACATCAAGAATGAGTGTAAAATGAAATTGGTTTCAATGCTCTTGAATATGATTATCAACAACAAGGCATGATGTCTCATCACCTTTAATACGGGGAAGAACATAAAAAACTTGACCACCACGGTCCATCTCATACTTAATAGCTGAGATCACTTTGTCCTTACTGAATGAAGAAAGGTGAGTTTTGATAGGAACTCTTTCTGGAGGTGGAGTTGAAATTAAACTGAAATATAAAAAAGTGTTATAATTATGCTCAGAGAATGATTAATTATGCTGGATCTTTCATTAGCTATAAGCTTAATGTAAATTGCCAAACAAGCAAAATATAAAGTATGCATCAAGCCCAATCAAAAAGCCCAAAAAGAACCAGGAGATGGCAGAAGAAAAAATGTTTAGGACCTACTAAGAGAAGATTTAGGATTTTTGCAGGGACAAAATCCTGTCTTATATTAAATAACCTTGAGTTGAAGTTTCAATAATTTGGGGAATTTGACAAGCCAGCACCTCATATCCACTTGCATAGTACTGCTACTGCTCCATTTAATTCTCCTTATCCACTCACCAACTATTGTCAACATTAGTAAATCTTACCCTACAAAGTTCCCAAGGGGGAACAAAGAATCTCAGCATATAGCAGAAATGTGAAGCTAAATTCATATCTTCACCAATATCAACAGATATTAAGGCTTCCTCATTGTGCATAGACATCATATTCTACAAGATTAGTTCGACATAAATCCATCAAAGTCTCTCTCTCTCTCTCTCTCTCTCTCTCTCTAAGACAAACAAACCTCCCCCCAATTTACAAAAGAACCGGCAGCAGACCATTGCAATAAAAAAGAGAGGGGGTAGTAGAAAATGAAAAATGAAATTTACCACAATTTGTCAACCAAATTATTCAATTATAGCTTTTTATTCCTTGAATAAAAAATTTTATTTACTATCATAAGAAGAACCAATCTATTTTCCATCATAATCTGGGGAAGGCTTGTTACCTAGCATCACGGAAACCTGTCAATGCCAAATAAAGAGTTCGTGGTATTGGAGTTGCAGAAAGAGTAAGAACATCTACAGAAGTTTTGAAAGAAGCAATCTTCTCCTTTTGTTTAACACCAAACCTCTGTTGTAAGAAATGTAAGTTAGGAAAACAATGTAGCCTTTTTTTTTGGGACAAAAAAAATGTAGCCGTTGTTAGTTATGAGAAATTAAGGAAAATATATATTGCAGATAATTGGTAAACCTGTTCCTCATCAACCACAAGCAGGCCAAGATTGTTATACACAACACGATTTCCTAGAAGAGAGTGAGTCCCAACAATAATGTCCAGGCCACCATTTTTAATCATTTCGAGGTGCTCCTCTTTTTCTGCTCTCGTCTGAAAGTTGTGACAAGTCAAATAGTCTGAAACTGATAAAAAAGTTACAAGCCATATAAATATAGACACAGAACACACTGTACATCAAATGGCAAGTAAAGACGGGAGTATATGCCGTCCTATCATAGAAGAATTATTTGTTTGCTCAACAACTGGAAATTATAGAAAGACCGTTGAACATTTGAAAAGATAGAACATGGAAACAAATACAATTTCCAAACACAAAGAAAGAAAACCACACAGAAACAATTGAGGTGAGAGAACAACTTAAAAAAAGAAAGCAAAATAATATGCCTCTTAGCATATAACTTACAATCCTATTACAGAATTCAAAGGATTGTCATCATCATTATAAAGATTTTACACTCTTAGTAAATCATAGCATTCCACCTGTTTAAAAGACAGTTAGAAGCATTGATTGCAAGCAAAATACCTCAAAAACTTCAACATGTGTACTTTCTCATTTCTTGATTGTCTTTTGAACTGGAAGTGGATTAAATTTAAACTAAAACTATGTCACCAGCATAAAACATGACGAAAAACAGAATATTTTGGCATATAATCGCAAGCTATACCAAATATAACTAACTTGAGTGCAAACTAAGATCATTCAAAAGATGGAACATCTAATTGGTGGAAAACTTCAGTATACTTTACCATAAAACACTTTAGCATGCACATGAAATAAATAAGAAGCTTGAGTAAATAATATTTAAGTATATGTGTGTGTGTCTGCGACAATATAGAAAGCTCACATATCTCACATACAAAAAAGGCAATCAAATTTCTTCAGTAACTGACCACAATGGATTGTTATAATTTTAACCAGAAAGTGGCATGTATCTAAATCAAGTAGTGACTTATGGGACAGACAAAAGAATATGCTCCAAAACACATTCAAATAAATTATGATAAAGGACATTGAAGCAAGAAAAAATTCAATTTGATTGACGAGCGTCATTAGACTACCTAAGTAAAACTAGAGTACTCTCTTCATAGCTAATCTTCACATAAACTTTACCAAGACAAGGAAAAAAAAAACACATACCTGAAACCTGCTCAGAAGTCCGATGTTAATATCAGGATAAGAAGAAAAACGCTCTGAAATAACATCAAAATGCTGTTTGGCAAGAACTATTGTCGGCGCCAAAACCATGGCTTGCTTCCCAGATGAGACTACACAGAATATAGCACGTAATGCAACTTCAGTTTTGCCAAAACCAACGTCTCCACAAATTAACCGGTCCATTGGAGTTTCACGTTCTGTCAAATCCCTTTCAACATCAATGAAAGCCTGTAAGGGAATGCATTTGGAAACACAAAATACCTAGTCAAGCATCATGAAACCACGCAAATAATAAATCTTCTAAAATCTATAGCACTGCAAAAATACAAAGGAAATAAAGCTAAAAATAAACACAAAGATGTGTAACATAATTAAACAATATCAATATTTTCAAGCAAAGCAAATGCACAAGATTTTGCCACCAGTATAAAAGAGAAAGAACAAAGACAACTTAATTATGATGTCACCTGTTTTTGATCAGGCGTGGGTTCAAAAGCAAATTGAGCTGCAAATTTAGCCATGGTAGGACATTTTGGATATGGGGGCCTTATTTGTTTTAGCCTATGTAGATAGAGTTCCATCAAGTCAACAACCATCTTCTGTATGGCAACCTTTCCTTTAATCTTTCTTCTCTCCCAGGCGCTAGTATCATTCAACTTGCTCAATGTCCGAGGTCTTTTGTTTTCATTTGGACTGCAAACGTACCGCAATTAACATGATTAACATGATCATTTAATAAAGTACAAATGTAACGCTCCCAATTTAGAAACTACATTTTGCTTGAGCTTTGATAATGGTATAAAAACATTATCTTCTAGAATAATAAGAGAAATGTTAAGGGTAAGGAGGGTGCGAAGAACTTACAGACTATATCTATAGAGCATACGAGCCGCCTTCCTAACAGGAAGCTTTGCCATACCATCTGCATACTCTATAAAAACATACTCAATTGGCTCTGTAGAATTCTTTGGAACCGAGAACTTAATCCCAACAAAGCGCCCAATACCAACCTTCTTGTGCACAACGTAGTCCCCAGAAAGAAGCGTATAAGGATCTACCTGGTAGCTAAATCCACCTTCCTTATTCTCCCTGTCCCCTTTCAACTTCTGCAATCCTCTCTGCTGCTGCTCCTTCACCAATTGTATGTACTTGTCAGCCTCCTCCGAATCCACTACCGTCCTGGAAACCTCTCGCTTGGCGAAATCACGGCGAATCCTCTCGTTGAGAACCAAAATGGGGTCATTCTCGAGCTCAATTCTCTCTGTCCTGTTCGACAATTTGGAATGAGAAGGAACCGAAAGGTTTTGAGTGTAGACGGCATTGGGGGCCAAAACTACTCGTCCTTTGTTGTTTTTGAACTGCAAAGGGTGCGTGACAATGAAAAGACCCCAAATTCTGGGGAATGAGCTGAGTTTGGGAATGAGGGGTGTGGAAATGTCAGACATTGGAAGAGGAGAAGCCATGGTTGAAGGAAAAGAAGAAAGGCAGAGTAATAAGAGTTGACGACAAGATTTTTAGAAGAAAGAGAGGGCAAAGATGGATAAGAGGGCCATTTGTACTTTGGAGAGCTGCGGTTGCTCTCCAGTTGAGGTGGTAGTCAGAGAGAGAGAGGAAAAACGAGTGCACAGAGGTTTTGGAGGGGTTTACCGAAGAAGAAATGTCCTGAAATACGCGAGAGCGCGAGGCATTTTGTTTGTGGACTGTGGGGTTAAGGTAAAAGATATTTATGCATGGCTTTGCAAAGTTTACAACACAACCCAACTTCTTTGGCCAAAAAAAAAAACTTTTGTGCTCAGCAAGCGTCAATCAAAAAAAAAACACAACTGGAACGTCAAGATTTAAAAATGTAAATTTAAATTTAATTTATATTTATTAAAATAAAAATTTATAATTTTTTTATAAATATATTTATTATTAATTTAAATAGTACTGGTTTAATTTTCATAGTCTAATTTAATATTATAATTTTTAAAAATTGACTATTTATATATATTTTGGACAATCTAACTTCAACATTAAATTTTTATCTGTAAGATCCAGGTTTAAATTTTTTATTTTGATAAATATAATATTAAAAATAAAATATAAAATATTTTGACTATAACTTTTTTTAAAAAAATTATAAATTTTTTAAATCTTAACTCTACAGAATACCTCTAAACAATTAATATATACAAAATATAAAAATTTAATATTAAATTATTAAATATAAATTAGATTAGTCATAAAAAATTGATTAATTTTTTTTATAATTTTTATAAATTTTTATTTTAAAAATATAAAATAAGAATATTAAATTAATTTTTTTAAATTTAAATGATCAAGATTGCATCAGCCTGGTGCACACGCAATGTGAATCCCAACTTCGCATGCTCACGATTTTCAGATATTTGTTTGGTTCGATGGGTGTTGCGTGGCGAAATTACGTCGTTCACTTCTTGCTTCGGCTTCGTGTTCCAGCAGTGACCGTTACATTCTGCGTTGACTTTGAACACCATCTCTCTTAAACACCAGTGATCATGGAATCAAATCCATCATTTTGTTGCAGTAGCTTTAATCATCACTTGAACTTCAAACACCATCTCTAAATTGTAATGCTAATGATTGCTACCATCTCTCCCTGTTTTTTTTTTTTTTTTTGGGTCACATATTGCTACCACCTCTTTATTGTCTATCATTTTTACCAAATGAAAAATACAGGGTTTAAATAAATCATCAAATCACACTTAAGTGCATTATCTAGTGATAAGGTAATTTTTTTAAATACAAAGCTACGGCCACCTATGCGAGGAAAAATAAAGTAATCTATTTATATGAAAGAGGTGGTGAGTTATTCTTTATTTAAATTTTAATTGAGTATAATAGATTATAAAAATAATTAATGAAATGATAAATTTTAATCATAATTGATTATGTTATAAAATATCTGTTTAAATAATTTAATCAAAATTAATTTTAGCTATATAAATTGGACATTGCTTTTCAAAATTAAATTATTAATATATTTGTATCTAATATTATTAAATTTGTTAAATTTTATTTAAGAAATAAAATATATTATTTAAATTACATATCTGATTAATTATAAAAATTTAAATTATATTAATATTAATAATTTAATTTGTATAAATAAATAACTCAATATATCTTAGTTCAAATTAATTTAATAAAAGAGAAAATTTTAATTCTTAAATACCAAACATCAATTTTACAATAACTAATGAAGATGATAATATATGAATTAATTTCTAATGATATCATGAATATGAGTCATATCTGACGAAGATGTTAAATATTATCTTAAAATTTTGGTAACATAGAAAATATAGCAATATCACAAATAATGCAAAATCTCTCTCTCTAAACCTTTGCAACAATATTTGTCATGATTTTAAATTTTAAATTAATTTTTCTCTACCAATTAATATTTTATTTGAATTAATTTTATAGTAAGTGTTGAGTGGAGGGTGATAATTGACAGAAATTTATGCTAGCAATTTTTTTGAGGATATAAATTTAAATTTTATCTAAAAAAAAGAGAAGAGAAGAGAGTTTGTTTTATTTTTATTAAATTATGTGTTTTTTTTGTATTTTTTTTCTTTGGACTTTCTTTATATTTTTTTCAATACTTTTTGATAAAATTTTTGACAAAAGCTCGGATTGGCGGCTTCTGGAAAAAATTAATTTTTTCCCCAAAAATCAATTAATCACAAAACTTGATGTTTGGATAAATTTCCTTATTAATCGATTTTTGGCCTCAAAAATTGATTAATGAAGCAATCCAAACAGGCATTCACGAGATTGATTTAGTCTCCTTCCAATTTCCAAAAAAAAATTCTCAAATCCAATTCCTCGTTCATAATGCGCAATGAAAATATAACAACCTAGAAAATACATAATAATAGCTGGTTTGAATTGCGCATATTTTTTCATAGCCATCAACTATAATATTTGGAATTTATTTGAAATTAAATGTTCTCACTTACCCAGCAATCAAATCCCAAGTACAGCTGTATATATGACATGATTTTTTTTTTTTTTCAAATTTTGACTAACATAACATGAAAAATGAAGCATAGTATTTTTATTTATTTTTTTATTTTTCCTAGAGCAAACTAGTTACATCACATCTCAAGTTCTCAAGCCAGGTATCAATTCACGATCAGGAAAAAGACAATAGAAAAACTCTCAAATTCCAGCAGCAATCTCCAGCCTACACCCACAGCATCTGAGCAGTAATTAACAAAACCAAGATCATCGTAACCCCTTGAGAGAGGTCCACTATCTTAGCTGCTGAGTTCTGAGCAGTATTATGGGAACCAGGAGAACCTGCAACAACAGCAACACATATCTCGCTTCAACAAAACTCTCCTTCTGATAGAAAACAGAGTAGCAAACCCACTAACAAAAGGAAAAGATAAGAGAATGAGAGAAGCCAGTATACTTGATGAGAGGCAGGACAAAGGATTAACACGTTGGCCACATCTCCCAGGCAAGGTCTGAGCCTCAGTAATATTAATGCCAGCCTGCTCAGCCTGTCTCGTTCCTTTATTGCTCACAAGGCTGCAAAGGCATTGTGGGTCTGATCGGATCACAGATTTGAGAGGATCGCAGCAGCTATCAGGAGGTTCTCTGTTGCCATTGAGGTAATTGAGGCAAGGGGAGAGCTGGTTGAGGCAAGAATTGTCTTGAGCTCTTGCTTCTGGGAACGGAGTAATCAACAGCAAAAGAAAGCAGGCCAAGCAGAAGAGAGGACTGGACTTGGTGACCATGTTGGATATCGTTGGTGGGGGTGCGTTTTTCTGATGCATTGCGGATGGATATGCTTATATAGGAGAGAAGGAAGGGAGATGGCGAAAATGACAGAGTTGGTGATCGAACTCATTTCATAGCCGACGAGTGCTGGAATAGGTAGATGTTTAGAGTTTATTTAGAAGAGGCTTCTATTTTGTGGCTGAGAGAGTGAAAGTTAGTTGTTAGGATGGGCACGGCGAGCGTTGGACAGGTAAAGCTACTTTCCTAAGTTGGGAATTTTCTTACACAGAAATGAGCGAGTCAAAGAGTGAGAGTCCCACGGATTAGCCGATATGAAAAAGGCGTCTATAGGAACCCGGATAAGCCTTGACCAGTTTAATAAAATATTGTCTATAACTAACTTGATTATGATTTGGCTACTGTTTTGACTATTAATTTTTGAACAGGCGTCTTAACCAGTTGAATAATTATTTCCAACACCTTAGAAAAAGGCCCAAAAGGTCTTTTTCTTTTTCTGTGTCAACTAAAATTTTGGTGCTTTGCGGTGACAGAATCTCTAGAAAAGGCCCAAGCTTTTGTTTTTTTTGATTGAGTAAAATTTGGGTGAGTAAAGTCTCATCTTATTATTAGCATTGAGTCAATCTCATGATTTAAAGAATACTAACAGAAATAATTACAAATTATTTACTAATAGTGTCCTGGGATTTCAACAACGCTTTTGCACCATTTCTTTCTCTCTTATTTCTTTTTTTTTTTCACTATTTTGTATGTGTTGTCGGCTGGGCGCTGTCGCCCAACTTAAAATTGATGACAATAAATTCATGTTGCAATTATGTAAGAGAAGCATAAATAGACGCTTTTCAATATAAATCTTGTAATCAATATAAGAGTTAAAATATTGTTTTCATATTGACAGATTTATTAAAAATAACTTTGACATAAAAAAAAATTACATGTAAGTCTTACAGAAGAGAATTTATTATCAAAAAATATCATAAAATTCACAAAACACTCTCAAATTTCAAATTCAATGCATTTACAATTTAATTAAAGATATTTATACTCAGATAATGGGCATTTACAACTTATTATTACAAGTTGTCATTCTCCTTAACAAGTTGTGACAACTTATAAATACATTTAATCAAGTTATAATTGGGCAAAATTTAAGACTTGAAAATATTTTATGAATTTTTTTAGGACTTCTTGATGATACTTTTCTTTTTGTGAAACTTAAGTGTAATTTTTCCCAAAAAAAAAGGTTGGCTATAAATATGTAGCTTGAAAATATTTTCCTTTGTGTTCAGGTGAGGTAAGTTGACGAGACAAAGTAAATATTTTAGAGACGCTCTATTGTCATTAAAGAAGCAAGCACGTTCCTGCATGGCTGCAAGCATGAAACAGTTAAGTTAACCACCCACCCTCCTTCCTTTTTTAAAAAAGAAAAAGAAAAAATTAGGTGTGTGCAGAATGAGAATCAACACCACCATGATCAAGATGCAAAACGGTCTCTCAAAAAGAAAAAAGCAAAACTGCATCACGATTTGAACAATCACAAATGAACATATAGGTATGCTAAAAGTTAATTTCATTAAAGCATGTGACCCAATCAAATGCTTACTCGTGGTTCTTGTCTTTGGAGACAAAGTAATATGTCATGATGAAGTTGCAAAATTTCATCAGCACTTAGACATAATATACCATCCCAACTTCAATCATACTAACGTGAGGAATATTAAGGCAAACAGCAGGACCTCTGCAATTCTGTCGCAGAAAAGTATATAAAACATCAATTGCAAACCTTTCCAAGAATGAAGATGATCTCCTTGCCTTCACGTGTGTGTTTCCCATTATATATGAACCCCAGCTTCCTTTGCTTCAATCAAATCTGTTAATTCTTCCCTGACAAAAGGATCCATCTCAGGGACGTTTGGTTGTTGAAACCTCACGCGTTGCTTCCTCAGCGGTGGGTTTTCATCATTAACAGACTGAAGACTCCTCCAGGAAGCAGATCTGCTGCTAGAAATGGAGATGTCCTCATGTTCAGAAATTATTAAGCTTGAGCCTGACGGCATGCTTTCAGCATTTACAACTGCCATTCTCCCATCAAGGAGAAAAGTCTCAGAATCTGAGTCATCTTGTTCCATTGCTTCCATCGGGAAAAACTGTGCTATATTCTGTACGATCAGGTTCTCAAAGTCGTCGTCATTTCTTTGAATGTCCTTATACCCATATCTAACCGTGCATCTATACATACGATATGGTCTTGGGCAGACTCTCCCAATGAGGAAACGTTCTCCAGCTGATACATGTGGAACAGGGACAGATTTTATGCAGACAAAAACCAGAATCTTGTGGAATGCAGGGAGATTGGTCACAAAATGGGAAAATATTGTAGGTACTCCTGTTACAAGTCCTGAGTAGATGAGACCTATTCCTGGGACACGGACAATGCCAAGGCTATGGCCTAAGCCCAATAACCATTTCAACGAAGCTTTGTTTTGCGTCTCGAAGCTGAACTTCCTACGAGTACCATAATGCCATACGCAGATGACAGACATGAAGATGAATGCCAGTACAAGAGGGACCCATGCTTCCTGGGGAACTTTCACGATCACTGCTGATAAGTATAGCCCCTCGATTGCCCAAAAGAATAGAAGAAATACCATGGCAACAAAGATATTCTTCTCCCAGACAAAGATTATGACGAGTGCCATCAAAAAGGTTGTCACAAACATGACCAACACAACAGCAAGTCCTGGTTACCAAGGACCCACAGAGATTTAACTTCAAAAGGATACATAAACTCAAAAGTCATATTTCATAGGATGCTTAGTTTTCTTGAAAGAGTATTTACCATAAGCATTTCCGATTAAGCTTGTGTCCTGAAATCCAACGGTTACAGCGAGAGTGAGGAGCATCAATATCCAGTTTATTTCTGGGATGTAGATCTGCCCAAATATATCTTTGGAGGTATGTACAACTTTGACTCGGGGAAAGCAACCAAGTGCGTGACATTGATTGATGATGGAGAACGTTGCAGTTATAACAGCTTGGCTCCCAACAATGGTTGCAAGAGTGGCAATGCCAAAGACAGGCCAATACACAGGGTCTGTGGAACAAATCAAAATAAACTGTTCTCTTTACAGAATTTAGCGGGGGAAGCAATACGAAATAAGTTATCAGATAAACTAACCAGGTATTGAGTCATAGAAACTATTATAAATAGCATTGAGGTTTTTAGATAGGAATGCAGCTTGGCCATATATTGTACTACCAAACAAGGGTATACAGCACAAGTAAATGCAAGCTGCACAGGGAAGAAGAACGTTAAGAAATTAAAATTTCTCACCTTGCAATGCAACTCCACCGCAGCTTTGTTGTTCTGATTTGAACTAGCAAAATACCCCCTCCCTTTTTTTGAAGCAGCACAAGAAAAACAGTTTCTAGCTAGTTTATAATCTAATACATGATTATAACAATTATTGCTTCCTGCTATTATGATACAATCATGTAGACACTCAAATTCATCCATAGAGACTGAAAGAACATATATCATGAAGTTCCCTCACCATTTGAAGCAACTAGAAATAATTATGATTTATTCAATCCATAAAATGGAGTCAGGTTTTTACGCTCACCCTTATTGACACAGCAGTGAAATGACCAAGATCTGCAAACATAGCTTCAGTCCCTGGTGAAACACAAAATGCTCCCATAATTAGGTTAAGAGTGAATTTTCCCAGTTCTTGAAAAAGGGAGCATTCTGCACAACAGCCCAGGCAACTCTTGGTTCATTTCAAATAGCATGCCTTCAAGGTCCACGTCAGGTCTAACTTCTGTTTTTCTTTTGTTTCTTTTCCTAAATTTTAGAAAGAAAGTGTAACATACCAGTGATGCAAAGGAGAACCCCTCCAAGCGAAAGCCAACCATTTCTACCGTTCTTGCTGAAAAACTTGTATATATAGTGAGGGGATAATGCAAAAACTACTCTTGGATTCCAACGTATTATATTATACAGCCCAACGGCAAAAGTGCATAGAAGCCAAATCGTTAAGATTGGTGCAAACATAAATGCTACTCTGTGGGTGCCAACATGCTGGAGAGCAAATAGCCCAATCAAGATGACACAGACTAGAAACACTAGCACTCCTGCAAACAACATGAATTTCTAACTGTAAACTGAAATTCAAACCTGTATTTTTTATTGGACCCGAAAAGAAGAAGGAAGCTATTTTCATCAATGAACAGCAAATGAGAATTGAATCACCGTCCAAGAAATTTGTCCCTTGTTTTCTTACTCCTGAAAGTGCTGCTAGAACTGCAAGGGTGCGGAACGTTTTGTAAGTTTTGATCAGACACTTGCTAATGCTTGTGAGTAAAACAATATAATAAGCAAATCAAAGAAAAGCAGTTGTTTTTTGCCCGAGCACAAATGTTAAATGAGCATCAGAAAAGTGCAGAACCAAGTGCTTTCTAGGATAAAGAATGATATGTTACATGATCCTTATACATTTTAAAAACAATTGAGAAGAGTGAATTTAAGAGTACATCCTGCTGATGACGTTAGCCAAAGTTTGAGGCGGTCACTTTGAACTCGAAACAATCTTATGGCTCCAAAATAGGCCTTGGCAGAAAGAACAAGATGCAAGTGATCTTTTCTGATTTTTCTCTGCCAAGAAGTCACCACATATACAAAATTGCTAGGCAAAAGGGGCATTTCTACAACATAATATTTGCATGCAACAACTACTTAACACCAAATCTAAAATGGCATGACTAGAATCTCTGGCTACTCCAGTTACAATAAAATGATCATCATCTCACTTGACATTGCAGGTGAGAGCACACCATCACCTATGAGCATGCTAACACCAAACAGTACCACAACTAGTAGGACCGTCCTTGACCATCCATGTTTCTCCAAAATCCTCGTTAGTGTTGAAGAGGAAACAGCATTGGACGAGGGACCGTGTTTGTAGGATGACAGTTCCTCATCAGCTGCTTGTTGGTTGGGAAGTAAATTAAACTTAGCATGCCTGCAAAGGAGAGTGTAAAGAGCAAATGTCCCACCTGACATTAATGATGCTAACATGATCAGAACATACACTTCCTATAATAAAACTGAAACAACAATAGATGTCATGGAATTGCAATATTATGATATGTCGAAGGTAAACCATAGTATTAATACCTTCACCATTATCATCAACACCCAAGAGGATGAAAACATACTTAAGCAAGGGTATCAATGTAAGTGTCCAGAAAATCAATGAAAAAGAACCAAAGATAGTATCCTCGTCTAGATGCATTAGCGACTTTTCTCCCATCGTGTTTGTATAAACATAGAGAGGTGATGTGCTCAGATCTCCATAGACTACACCAAGGCTTTGATATGCTAATAATATGTTCCTGGAGAGGTTTACCCATGATAACTGCAATGCGACACTATATCACTATTATTAATAAAGTACTAAAACCTCCTTGTTTCCACGAAATTATACAATTCGGAAAAATAAACAATAGGGAGTATTGTTATTAGAAGTATCAAAGATCCTATATATTGAGCAAATAAAGGAGTAAGTAGTCATATTTATTGCAGAATGCGGTATCAAATAGCAATATAAATAAATAAAATCTGTTATAAATTGAATTTTTTTTTCCCGCTTCATGGGAGATTATAAAACCAAGTAGGAAGGGGACACAGAAAACAGTACAGGGAATTGTTTCTCATTGGAGACATCTTGACTAGGCGAGATTCTGGAACTTGGCGTTGGTGAAGTTCATAAAACCAAACATGCAAACCTTCGCATTGGAAATTTTCATCTTAAAAATATAAGCATAGAATTCCTGGCCAGAAATAATTCTGAACGTTGAATTTGTAATCATTGAAGAGATTCACTAATAAAGTATGGATAATATGCTAAAAAAATATTATTCTATAACAATACAAAGTCTGGTTTCTACCTAATTACCCCCTCCAATTCTATATACAAGTAAATCCTAACTACTTCACTAAAATCAAGAAAATGTAATTAAATCATTGAAATTTTCCCAAAAGGAAAAAGAAATTTTTCAATTTATCTCTATTAAATATATCATCTTTAAAAACATACTATCTTTCACATACGACATTTTACCTTGTTGATAAAAAATTTTGATTTAGTAAAATTGGAATAAAGTATATGATAGTATATTTTTGAGAAAATTAATCTTTTAATCCTTCAACTTTTAACTCACTTGTAACTCAGTTCCTCAATTACGATTCGCTGCGACTCAGTCTCTTAACTTTTGATTCACCTCGGTTCTTATTTTTTAGTTTTTTTTTTAAATTTCTTATCAAATAAGAGGAATAAAAAATGCTCATATATTATTTTAAAATACCATCCTCTTGCTCATTGATGTGAGATATAAGTTAATATGAAAAAAAAATTAACAAAAATTAAAAACTAATTTGTAAGTGATTCAAAAGTTGAGGGGCTGAGTCATAGTTGAGGAATTAAGTCACAACGAGTCATAATTGAGGGATTGAGTTGCAAGTGATTTAAAAATTGAAAGATTAAAAGATTAATTTTTTTATATTTTTTATACAAAATGACTTATAATAAAAAAAACCATCAAACTCTTGTAGAATGAGATTTATATATAGAATTGGAGGGCGCATATTCTTGAAAAAATTGACAAACATTATTAAAATAATAAAGTTCAATTACGTTTAAGCACATTTGAGGATTAATCAAGACAGCGTTCAAAAGTCAAAATTCACAAACTGGAACTCGAATAGAGACATTTTAATAGTTTCCAATAGGTTCTCACGATAACTGATTTTTACGCTTGGCACAGGAGATCGCATATTCAAACTGGAATAAGGTTTAATCTATCTATAAACGACAAAGAAGCGTCACAAGCATAAAAGCAGGATGGATTCAAAAACATTTTGGTACCAAATTCGAATTCAGATTCAGGTTACACGAATACATTTGTTAAAGCTCAGAAATTAGAAAGGGATTGTTAGGTTCAGAGAGAAAATGTCTGACCAGAGGACTCAGGTGGTTCGGGGCTCCAGCTTCGGTGTCCATGAGGGGGCAGTTTACTGTATCGAACTCTTCTGCCCTGTCCGCGCTTGCGTATGGGTGAAAGGTTCTTAGAAAAGGTCAACAGAACCCGATGTATTCGCATATGGCTCTGTTAGTATGGAGTCTCCAATAATTGCCAAATGGCACCAAAATAATCCCCTCACTATTTTGCACGATCCGGCTCTGTCGATAATCGGCAATATCGTGTTTGTTCCTCTACCGCCATTCTGCTTCATCTTTTAGACTTTAGAGAACCGATTTGGAATAAGAAAAAATACAACGTGGAAGCAGAAAAGTACAGTTCATTTTTCCGTAATGTATAGCAGAGTCGAACAGGGGATGGAGAAGAAGCTGGGTCAGGAATCGATCAAGTTAGGACCAGGATCCAACGGTGCACTTAACCTAAACAGTCGCACATCATGTTTCATATTTCTTCTTGAAATATACAGGAGAAATACTCATCGTCTTTAATAATTATGTGGAGAAACACGCAGACCACCAACTCGAGGAACAACATAAACGCAGTTTCTCCCCTCTGGCCAGTGATCACAGAGGAACAAGCTTTAGATTGTTATATCAAGAACTGTGATGGAAACTGGGTTCTCGAGTTCGGTTGCAAACAAGGACCTCATCCATACCCTGCCGCAAAACTTTGGGAAATATTTAAAGGTCGTACGCTATGCTAGGAGAAGGGGCTAACCGACAAATACCGATCTTGTTACTCAGTCATGTTGCTGGACATCTAAACCACTGAACCTGGTTTTCAGAGATGCCTGTCTCACTCACCCATCCTGAGTCTGATTTAATTACCAGAATCGGAGGATTGATAGCGAGTGGCTGACGGCTTGAGCGTGCATGCCATGCACTTGGAGAGCTCAATTGTATAGAGGCGAGATTCTAAAAACGATAATTTGGGCCAAGCTCGATGGGTCAATCCGAACTCGCCCAAAAAATTTAGACCCAAACCTGAAAAAAATAATATTTTTTTTATTGTTCAGACATATTCGGACGGCCCGAATAGGCCCGAAAAAATTCAGGCCAAGCCCGATCGGGTTCGGGCTTGGCCCGAATACCCGAATAGGAAAAAAATAATTTTTTAAAAAAATATAATATAATAAATATTAATTATTTTTTAAGTTTTATATCATTTTATTTTAAAATACCATATATTTGAGTGTATTACTATAGTTATTTTAAAAAAATAAAAATATTTATATTTTTTCATTTTTATTATTTTTAATCAAATAAAATATCTTAAAATAATAATTAAAATATATTTTAATAATTGAGTCATATAAACCATTTTCTTGTCCAAAAAATTATATTTTATATTTTTTATAAAATAAGATAATTAATTTTAAATTAAAAATAATTTTAAAAATAAAATTTGGACATGTATGAATTTTCAGCTCTACTACTAAACAAACATAATAAATAAAATAATATTTTTAGATAATTATTTGATTATTATTCACGTTAGACTTAGTTAAAAATTAAGAATGAACTAAAGTAAATACTTTTTATATATAGGACTTAAACAATATAAAATATTTAAAGAAAAAAATTCAAAAAAATAGTATTTTGCCCATAATTAAATAATTTTGTTTTATATAATATAATGATGACTATTTTTTTCATATTCTTAAAAATAAAAAGTATATTTTATGCAATAATTATTAAAAACTTTTAACTAATCAGGACAATAATTTTAAATTAATGGTTTAACCGTAGTTGAATTGAGATTAACTTGACCATAATTAAAATAATATGATTCAATTAAAATATATAAATATTTTTATATAACTATGATAAGGGCAATATTTAAATAAATAAGACATTAATTTACAAGTAAAGAAAACATTCATGAATAAATTGCACATAATACAACAAAACAGTAACAAAGCTACTTAAATACTTAACTATAAAGTTAATAAGTTATTATTTTTATATTCCTTTCAAGTTAAAATAATATGCTATGCTTAATAAAATTATTTAAAAATTAAAATTGATTAAAAATAAAAAAAATATTTTTAAAAAAGTTTTGAATATTTGGGCCGACCCGAATAAGCCCGAAGCTCGAAGGCGTTAGGACCAAGCTTGACTATATGAGCTTTTTAAAAAGAGTAGAATTCTTTAAGTCCAATCCGAATAAACTCGACCTGAATTAAGCCCGACCACGAATTACCGGCTCTACGAGATTCACAGGATCACGGAAAAACGATATAAAAAGACAACAAATTAGGTTATATCAAAATTCAAAAAGTTTTGTACCGAAACATAAAAAATTTCAATATCTAAATTATCATTTTAAGTAAGCCAATTAACAAATACATAATCAGAAGTCATCATCCAATTTACTTAATAATTTCAGCAAGGGAATGGTTCTTGAAGAACTCGTGCGGCTGAAAGTGCAGTGTGAGAGATTTCAAATGGCTTCTCCATGGCCTTTTTAGCATAGTGATTGCCAAAAGGGCGTCAAAGCTATATTCTCCCGTCACCATCCATTTTTGATGGAAGACGATGGAAAGTAAAGTGACATCCATACGGAAATCTCTCGCCTTTTATTGATAGGTCCTCCGGTAATGATCAAGTATTCCGAACAACTAAGTCGTTCTAAAAAAATTTAAGTACTATCATTATTTGTGAAATTTACACGTTGGAAGAAAAGCTGAAGCAAAGATAACATGACCAGAGAGGCCTTAACCTACCCTAAACATAGACAATAACCACCTCTATTTTTAACCAGGAGAATAAATAAAACCCGTACCTTACCACCAAGATCAAGTTGCAAAATTCTACCAAGGAACTACACATAATATATCATTCCAACTTCAATCAGACTGATGTGAGGAATGTTAAGGGCGACAGATGGACCCCTGCAATTCTTCCGAAGAAATGAATACCCAATATCAATCACTAGCTTTTTCAAGAATGAGGACGATTTCCTTGCCTTCACATATGAGTGCCCCAGGATATATGCAACTCCCGCCTCCTTAGCTTGAATTAAATCCAAAAGCTCCTCCCTAACACCAGGATCCATGCTAGGATTGTTAGATAGCTGAAATCTTACCCGGCGCCTCCTGACTTGTGGGTTCTCGTCGTCATAAACTGATTGCAAGCTTCGGAGGGTGACAGACTTGCTGCTCGGGATTGAGATGTCCAGGTCAACATCCTCATGTTCGGACACTATTAAGCTTGAAGTAGATCCTATGCCTCTACTAACACTTATAACAGCCATCCTCCCGTCAAGTGAAGAACTTTCAGGACTTGAAAATTGTGGCTGAATAGCTTCCATTTGGATAAACTCTGCGATACTCTGAATGAGTTGGTTCTCAAAGTCTCCGTCATCCCTTTGAATGTCCTTATACCCATATCTAACGATGCATCTATACATACGATATGGCCTAGGGCAAACACGCCCTATAAGGAAACGTTCTTCAGGTGAGACATATGGAACAGGAACTGATTTTACACAAACAAAGACCAGCACACTGTGAAATGCAGGAAGATTTGTAACAAAGTGGGAAAATATTGCAGGCACTCCTGTTGCCAGTTCTGAGTAGATAAGACCTATTCCTGGTACACGGACAATGCCCAGGCTAGGGCCCAATCCTAGTAACCATTTCAATGAAACTTTGTTGTGTAGATCATAGCTGTATTTCCTACGAGTACCATAATGCCACACATACATAACAATCATGATGATGAATGACAGGACAAGAGGAACCCACCCTCCCTGGGGAACTTTTATGAATGCTGCTGATAAATATGCGCCCTCTATAACCCAGAAGAATGAAAGAAATATTGTAGCAACCATGACACTTTTCTGCCAGACGAAGATTATGATAAGTGCCATCAGAAATGTAGTGACAAACATAACTGCTATACAAGCAAGTCCTGCAAATCAAAAACGCCAAATAGAGTTAACTTCAGTAAGACAAAATATAACACAGCACAATTTTGACCAAAAATAACCCAGTGTTTATTGCATTTATTAAAGCAGCCGTGTACCATGCAGCCTCATTAACAAGGACATTCTTAAAATGCAGATTTATGCAAGCAAGCATAACGCTCTAATTAGATGCACGGGAACTTGTAACCTCGTAATCCATGTATATCAATGCAAAACTAACACTCAAACTGCAAGTTCTTTCAAAAAAAGCATTAGCAAAATAACCAGATCCACGTGTGAATTCACAATGGCAACTAGCACAAGCATCAAGTGTGCTGCATACTTGTACAAACTATACTACTGAATATTAGGGGCACTTGAATATTGAAGTATTAGCAAAACAACCAGATCCACGTGAATTCACAATGGCAACTAGCACAAGCATCAAGTGTGCTGCATAACCATACTACCTGAATATCAGGGGCTTCTTTTAGGGGGCATCTGAATATTAAAGGCGTGAGATTTTTTTTTTTTGAGCACTTGATAGTAGTATTCATCCGAAGATATTTTACTACTGAACCTAAAGTGTTCTTTTTTCTTCTGCTTTAATTTGACACACTCTAGCAACTGATCGTGAACTTAAAGCATATACTTTGTCCATAAACCAAATAAAACTACTAAACCTGGCATGATTTGAATGAGCCAGTGCACCCAAGCAAGGGCTCACAGCTTGCAAGCAATATCACCAGTGCCACCAATCATCAGACATATGAATAAGCATAGGCAAAAAAAGAATAAAGTCATAAACAGTCTCATAACTATATAGAGACTTTGACTCCTCCATAAAAAAGTAAATTACCATAAGCATTTCCAATCAAGGTTGTGTCACGAAATCCGATTGTCATAGCAAGAGTCAGGACCATAAGTATCCAGTTTATTTCAGGGATATAGATCTGTCCATATATATGTTTTGAGGTGTGTACAATTTTCACTCGCGGAAAACATCCGAGTGCATGACACTGCTTGATAATAGAGAAAGTGGCAGTTATAACAGCCTGACTCCCCACAATAGCAGCAAGGGTGCCAATAACAAAGACAGGCCAATATACAGGTTCTGCAGGCAAGAAAAATTGACAAATAAGAACAGCTTGAATTGATGGAAATTAGTACCGAGCAAGAAGAGAACCATAAGAACTAACTTGGGATTGAGTCATAAAAACTGTTATGGACAGAGCCGAGATTTTTAGATAAGAAAGCAGCTTGGCCCATGTACTGTACCACCAGACAAGGGTATATAACAAGAGCAAATGCAAGCTGCACAAGGAAGAATAATGTTAAGAGATTTCTTATTTGTTTTCCATGCAATGAATAATAATTGCTATCAGACCAGAGATCCAATAACATAGACACTTCAAACAATACAAGATGTCCACTACATATTTTTCAGTCAACCAACAATGTTTTCGAAAACTAAGACCAATTGAATGTCCATAACAGTCAAGAGCTCACTCTTATTGAAAAAGCGGTGAAATGACCAAGATCAGCAAACATAGCTTCAGATCCTGGCAAAACACAAAATGATAAGCATTTAGTGAACTTAGCGTCAGAGTTCTTAAAAACTCACAGTATCGAGTCAATGTACAATTAAATTCATAGTGGAAATGCAACATCCAGTATAGTTTTCCAACAAAGTTTTGATAAATGACAGGTGGCATGGAGGTTCAGGACTACCATACCAGTGATACAGAGAAGAACCCCTCCAAGAGAAATCCAACCTTCTTTGCCAGTCTTGATAAAAAACTTGATGATATAGTGTGGGGATAAAGCCTGAACTATTTTTGGATTCCAGCATATTGTGTTATACAGTCCAATAGACAAAATGGATACAAGCCAGATTATTACAATTGGTGCAAACATAAATGCTACTTTGTGGGTGCCACAATGCTGGAGAGCAAACAGACCAACCAATATGACGCAGGCAAGCAAGACAAGTTCACCTACAACGATAAGAAATTGCTATAGTGATACAATATAAAGCCTTTGAAATTGAATGAGCACTGATATAAACTGCAACATCTTTGACAAAGCACAAATGACAATTGACTCACCATTAGTAAGTTTGATCTCACTAACTTGTAATCCTGCTACTGCTGATAGAACTGCAAGTAGGTGGGAAGGAATGTTAATTTCTGATCAGGTGAAGATAATCCTCATGTTTTTTTTTTTAATAACTATTTAATGTAAACAATGGTAAACAAATTAAACTGGTTGTCTCTCTCTCTCTCTCTCCCCCCCTCTCTTGTTCCCTTCAACTCTGTTGGGGGTTAAGGGGAAGGGGTTGTAGAATTTATTTTTATAACAATCTATCCTTCTCATGTTCCAAATAGGAATCACATAAAGAATAAATTTAATATTTGAACATTTTGTTAGAAGACTTAATGTACTTCTGTTTTTTTTTTTTTGGGGGGGGGGGAGCAAGGGTTAGAGCTTTAAGTCTACAAAACTATCTTAACATTTAACACCAAGACTATACCCAAAAGACATAATTAATAACTCTAAACAAACCCAATTTCAGATTAATAAATAGGTATTTTACCTGAAATTGCTGGAGTAAACACACCATCGGCTATGACCATGCAAGCACCAAACAACACTACAACAAGTAGAACTGTTCTTAACCTCTTATGCTTCTCCAGAAACCTCTTCAGTGGGGAAAGGGATACAGGCTGTGATGAGGGACCATATTTGTAGGACGACAGCTCCTCATCAGCTGCTTGTTGGTTGGGGAGTAAATTAAACTTGGCATGTCTGCAAAGCAGTGAGTAGAGAGCAAATGTCCCACCTGAAAACGTTTGTACCAGAATCAGTGCATACACTTGAATAATTAATAATATTCAGAGTCCAGAAGAACTTGAAAGAAAAAGAAATGCCAAAGGAGTTCAGTAATTTATATGCAGATAATAGTTTTAGAATACCTTCACCATTATCATCAGCACTCAATAGGATGAAAACGTATTTAAGTAAGGGAATTAATGTGAAGGTCCAGAAAATTAATGAAAAAGCACCAAAGGTAGTTTCTTCATCATGGTACTTCTGCAACTTTCCTCCAAATATGCTTGTGAAAACATAGAGAGGTGATGTACTTAGATCTCCATATACTACGCCAAAGCTTTGATATGCTAATATTAGACTCCTAGAGAGATTAACCCATGACAACTGCAAAACAGCAAAAGATGAGTGACCGTTAAAATTTCATAATTCAAATTTATCTCATACTTGGAAAAGGGAACGGTAAGCAATGCCATACCAGTGAAAATAAATTGAAGACCAAAAATATATCACGCCAGAGAGTATATAAATTTAAAATGAAAAACTACAACACAAAATAATAAGTTGACATGGTGACTTATTGGAAGTTCAACATTTCTTTTAATCAAACAATAGTTTTTCAGTCAAGGTCAATAGAAACCACAATTTCCCATTCTGGACACTCCATCCAATCATTAAAGGAACAGTATGCACAACTCACAAATATTTACTTTAAATATATTTTCCTTTTGAAAAGAAAAGAAAAGTTTGATCAAGGCAAGTAAAACAGAAGAATGGATCAAGTGAGAGTGTTAAGAAGAAGAGAATTGAATTCACTTATAATGTCCTTATGTTATCATATCCCAACCTCTTAACAAAGTCAACAACCTAACCAACAGCTATCAAATCTAACTGAGATTTCCATCAAGCAGAGAACTCAAACCCTTGATTAAATTTGGAGCACATCAGTCCCCTACTTTCAAAACACCCTTGTCCTCAAGGGTTGGGTAAGAGGATTTTAATTCAGACCAACCTGCATTTAACATTAGATAAGAGACCACTTTACTGCAATCCAAACACAGCCCTGTATTCTCTGCTCCCATTGAATTTTTCCAATATCAACATTCTGCCTACCACTTCCATAATTCAGAAATCCTGAACCATGGACATAAAAAATGTACATCCATTTGTAACATGTTCTATAGGCACACAAGCAGACTCCACCATAATGTTCATGGAAGGCACTGTCTTCACCACCTTAGGCGTCAATGACAGTTCAACAAACAAATCCACCCTAGTGCTCATGATGAGCTTGTCCTTCACTCCCATAGGACGACATAGTTGGTGGTTCAACAGTAAAATACATAGGACCACAATACTTGTTATCCCCTTGAAGCATTCATTCTATATTTTCCGTGAAATCATCATGAAACATACTACCCCATCTTTATTTTGGGATGAGACAGGAACAGAATCCAACTCCACATTATGAATAGGCAGAGTGTGAAAAGGATTTGGAAGAAAACATAACAGGGAAAGAAAGAGCAAGGGCCATCACAGAATTCAATTTTTGAAGCTTTGCCAACCTGGTCTCATCCAAGAGCTTATTAGGGTGGAAATAGAACAATTTAACTTTAGTAATTTCTGGTTTGAGGCCCTTCGGCCATAGCTAGGCAAGAGATCATCTGACAGCTCTACTTCGCAGGCAAGGTAATCAAACAAATTACGGTGTTCCACCAAAGTTTCAGTTTGAGTTAGTTGCATTAATTCGTCTATTACGAGATATCTTGCCTCAGCTTTCCACGGATCCTTCCACCCTTCCCTGTCTTGGGTTTGATTAATCACCCCAGTGAGTCGTAGCAAAAAGCATAAAATCAATTTTTGCAGCCAATTCACCCAATGCTCCGCTGCCAATATTATCCTTTGGTCCACCATTATCCCCAAGTGGTTGCTTTTCCGGCGAAGCTGGGTTCTGATGATTTTGGACTTTTCTCAACGACATTGGAACCTGAGCTGCCATGAATAGGCCTTCTCTAATACAAATGTTAAGAACTAAGAAGGACGGGAGGGTAGAAGACAGAAAGAACAGAGAAGGAAGGAGAGGAGAACTCAATTCATTTCTGATGTCCTCAAACAATCGAGTCTCGCGCCAAATAAATCTAACAGACAGATGTTTATCAGGTACAGAACTCTAGTACCCTTGCTAATGAATTTCGGGCGGATCATACGGTGACTGAAAAAACATTATATACAAGACTTAAACTGCTGTAAATTGTAGGTTAAATTTTTCGTTTACCACGTTGACAAGAGTACAGACACTACTTCCGATGTAAAAATGTGTGCTACGGGTATGGGACAAACGGAGACATAAAAAATACATTCACCTTGTAAAAGTTATAGAATAAAGCAGAATAGTATACTTGACAGAACATGAGTCCGAATCGAAATTGAAGAAAAGGAAAAACAGACGCAAGCGAAGCAGGACCTAACTAAACTTCACAGAGCAAGAACAGCTTTGATTCTTCTTGATTCATCAACAAGTAACCACAAAAGAATCAAAAACCAAAACATGAAATTTAGATTAATCATACGCTGACAGAACAGAGCGAAACCAAAAAAAAAAAGGCGGGTAAAAAGAGGGAAATACTAACCTGAGAAGGATTCCGAGAAGATGAAGCTCCAGATTCGGGTTCCATGAGGAAGTTCGCTCACTGGGGGCGCGCGTGAAGCTGAGAGTGAGAAGCTCGTTCAGGATTCAGATATTCCCCCGCATCTCTCGAGCTGTCGGATTTGAAGCTCCGATTAAATACGAAATGGCACTTGTTGAGTGAAATGGAAATTACGGAATGGTACTCTATTAATTGCACATTATCTCATTTCCATTCCCAAATGGCGTGTTCTGTGCACGTCACGCTGTTGGTCGTTCCGTGACTACCCATCCATGGATTCCGGCCCCAAATACAGGGGGCCATATCTAATTCTCAATTACTCAAGTCTTTATAATGTTCATGGATTCTTTCTCCTGAAATTTGACTACAATGGAAAATATTGTTTATGTTTATTAGCATACTTTGAGATTTGAGATGAGCGGTCTATAAAATTGGATTGCCGTCTTCAGATAAATTTAACCTCAAATTATTCTTTTTTAATATGATTTCTGGATGGCGATAGTTTATCATTTTATCGCCACTAACAAAGCTGTTCAATGTGCTGAATTCAAATGATACAATCATTATATGATTAAATGTTTTTCTTTTAATTAAAATTTTCCCCATATTTTCTTCAATAAATATGAGAACAACAATATAATTATATTATATATAATTTTTATTAAAAAAACCCTCATAGATGATATATATATATATATATATATAAATCACGGTGTAGTATTTGGTTAGCCATGTTTTATAGGCTGATTAACCACAATTGACGAGGCTGTGTAGAATGAACGTCATGCGCATAGTAAGTGACAGAGACTATCTAATTTTCAACTCCAAATGATTGAGGGTCCACCGTCCAAAGTACATTTTTTAAACAAATAATAATAAAGCTCATTAATTAAAAATATTATCATAATAACTGGTAATGTAATGTCACTAGATCAGTTTGTACAGCGACTTTCGTAATGTCTGCATGGGCTAGGCCCCCCTCCATCTGTCGGCCCTGTACTTCTTCGCAAAACCCATTAAGCCCGTTTGGTTTGGTTCCTTTCGTTCACCCAACTATTAAGACGTCAAATATTTATTATATTACGATGATCATCATTTAATAACAAATATTTTTAATTTTTGTTTTGAACCTTGGAACTCAGGTAGCACCCCACACTTACCTCAAACAGGAAGATCGATAGTACGGGTTAAGTAGGGGGAGTATGTGATGCACTTGTGATTCATCATTCTTTATATAGAAAAAGTCTAAGATATATATAGGTGTGTAAAATTGATGCGTGAAAATTTAAGAAGTCATACACAATTTGCTTTGGTTAAAACATCCGCAAATTGATTTTACTCTCGTGGGATATGATTTATGAATGAGGTGAATGCAAATTGGGTTGGTGGATGCAAATCACAACTTTATATATTAATTATTTATTATATATTATTGTGAATATAAGAAAAAAATTATGAATTATTTATTTTTAATAAAAATAATTTATATAAATTTATTAATGATAAAAGAATTTTAAAAATTTCAAGAGAATTATAACATTTTTAATGGATTAAATTATTATTTATATATTTTAGATTAATTTTATTATTTTTTCTTGATTTTTTTTAGGTGAATGCAAATTGGGTTGGTGGACGCAAATTGCAATTTCGCTGGCCTGGCTTAAGGAGAAATGAAGGGTTTAAAAAAAAGCTGAGCAAAGTTATAATTAAGAGGTTGAAGTTCACATTCTGTGGTGGGGACTGATGAAGGGCCTGGTCCACGCGTTCTTCAATGAAGCTCATGGCGCGTGTAGGTTAGCTCGGACCAAGATCAGGCCACCCAGAAATCCTGCAAATTGGAAACCAAAGAAGACGACAAATCGTCGTTTACCTCAAAAGAACAAGAGGACGATGACAATTTGGCAAATTGTTGGGTTTTATGTTATAATATAGAAATAAATAAACAAACGCTCGTCTCATTTGTAGTGTCGCGTTCGTCCACGGAGGCTAGTGGTGTTGGGATTGAGACAAATCAATAAAGTCAGGTTTAGTTATTATAATAAAATAAAATAAAATTAGTTGAAATTTCAAAAATTTTATAAATTATAATTTTCAACTCTATAAATTAAATTCCCTCATTTCTTTATTAATGTGATTTTTTTTATCTTATTTTTACTTTTATTTTTTTAATTTATTTTATTTAATTTTTTTTAGTAATCAAACATGATCTAAATCTTTTTATTATTACCTAAATTCACGTGGATGCTGTAGATGCACTGGCCAATAACAAATTAAAAGCAATAAGTTGTCAAATTTCGGAGGATGCAATAATGCATCACGTCTGTCTAATAACAAATCACGTTCACGATCTGAAGCATATAAAAATACAATGAATCGACAAGGGATCGTAGAGAGTAATAAACAGTAATAATATAAGAACAAAGGAAAACAAAAAAATGGAGATCACAGAGATTTGTGATGGGGAGAGAGCAGGGGATAGCATCCACGTCCACCAATTTATACTTAGAACAATATAGTATATAGGTGGATGACACATTTGAGAGTGACGTTGAAGGCATGGCGAAGATGTTGGATAGCTTCTCTGTGTGTCAAATAACAATTCACTCTGTGAAGCGTATTTGCATGCATGGCTGTGATATCAATATGGCGGGTGATTGGATGTACCTGTTCCCTCAAGCAGAGCTACATGCATGCAATGCGTCCCGTGTCTGTATGCACATCAACGCCAGCCAATTATATTTCGCCAATAATCTGTTTTAATTTCCCTCACATATATGATTTTTTCTTTTTTGGTGCTGAGATGGAAATTAAATATTTTATCTAATTTTATTTATAAGTCACTTTTAATATATTTGATTGAAATAAAAGAAACCTTAAACTTTATTGATTATGTCTTAAAATTTAATAAGTTTTCAATTCTATCCTTAATAATGATAAAAATAATTATTTTAATTTTTATTAGCGTTTAATAATGATTATGAATATATAAAATAGTGAAGTGGTCATGTAAATAAGATTAAAATTAATGTTCTCTCTTTATCATATAAATAAGACTAAAAGAGTGAGATAATTATGCTTAATTTTTCAAGTGGTGTGCATACAGCACAAGTCCTATTATCTAATGTTAGGGCTTTGTGTACTTGAACTAGCTTGACTTGATTTTGTATACTTCTCTACTCTTATTTATAAATTATTTTTAACATGTTTTATCAGAATAAAAAAATTATTAATTTTATTTAAAAATTCAATAAATTTTTAACTTTACACTTATTAATATATATATATATATATATATTTTAATAATGTATTTCATCACACCAACGTTGTTAAATAGGAAAATTTGTGATAAAAGTTCAATGATATGACTCATAAATGGGACAAGAAAAAATCCTCCTTTCTCTTCATCTTATAAATAGAATTGAAGATAGTACATATCATAAAGTCAATTAATACTCATATATAATTAAAATCTGTAAATGATATTCATAAACAAATAATATGAAAATATCCACACCAGGCGAAGGGAAAGATCGGGTTTGACGTTAGACTATTATACAGCGCGACTCGTCTTTCAAGCCAACCCGATACACTGACCTAGTAGGCTGAGTAAATCCCCTTCATTTATATATTTACAGTAAATTTTATTCATTTAATTACGGCGTGCTGAATTGGAGGAATAAGAAACCAATTTTTTTTTTTTTAATGCATGGATCGATTCCCTTCAATCATAACAGGAGACAGAGTATATATACGGATCGGGAGAGATGTATGTCAAGCATTAGCCAGTTATTTTCCAGAATTGATTACACAAATCATTCAGGCTAGTAATTAATCTGATCCATGTTCCTCAAAATTAAATGAAATGTACACCGAGATGAGCGACGTGCATTAGTCTCTGAGTCTTGAATTCTTGTTGATGCATGGTTTGATTCTGTTTTCTCTTTTTGTATATTAGCGGCAAAATAACATAAAATAAAATAAAGTTATCTAAATAAAAAAGATAATATACTCGTTAATTTAGAACAATGCTCACTCGTTGTCGTGCGATTTTTACAGGAGTTAAAGTCCAATCAACTAGCTAGAAATAGACTCCGTATAAATAGACTCATAAATAAATACGGTGATGTAACCTATAAATGAATAAATATAATGAATGAACTATCAATCACTTCGTATTTTTAAATTATAGCAAAATTGTGTCCCTCAGTGTCTTGAGAATGCAATCTTTAAATACCAGTTATTCCGTGGACATAAAATTAAAAAAGAATTATGTAGCCTCACAATGTATGTCCTTTTTTTTATTCTTCACGTTGGAGCGACCTCTGCCATTTTATTGTCTCCTATACATGCGCACATGAAATATCATATTTCAACTGTTCGTTGTTTCTAGGAAAAATTGGCCCAAAAAAAAAAAAACCTCACCACAAATTTCATTGCTATGAAGGAGTTGGGACAAATTTTGAAAATAGGTTCTTCGCTAGCATTAATTGTTGAGAGCCAAATGATACAAGTACCCTTGCTATTAAAAAAAAAAAAGACAAAAGTGTAGCAAGATCTTTGGCTGTCACTAATTTCATGTTAATACTTAATACAAGGTTCTTCAACGTCAATATGTTAAATGCAAGGGTCTTCAGTTATATATAGTGATTCTTCCACCATATATATATATATATATGTATTTGAACTTCAATTATACGCAAAAAACTTTCATTTATTCGAATAACACTTTTGTACATTCTAAAATTTTTTAACTTAGAATCATTTTAGAATAATAAAAACAGGGATCTTCAATCATATGCAGCAATTTTACAACTCTATGCATTTGAATTTCAATTATATATAAGAAAACTTTCATTTATTTAAATAACATTTTTACATATTTGAATATCACTCATTAATTTTCCTTATGGATACTTTTGGAAACATATGCGATCTTTCTTCCTCAACATGCAACTAATCTTCAACAAAATGTAAATTTCTTCTATATATATGAATAACATTTTTGCATATTTGAATAAACGAAAATCTATTTGCAACTCCTTGAAGGGTACTTGCATATTATGAAAGAAAGGTCGCATATGGTTGAATATATCTATATATGGTCCTAAAACACGACACTAAATGTAACATTTTCATAATATCCAAAATGATTATTCACATAAATGGAAGAAAAATTACATTTTCAAGATATACAAAATGTATATTCAAATATGACGTAGAACTTGAGATTTGAATATTGTATTAATGTTGTATTTTTAAGATATTACACATGCATATTCTGAAAATTTACATAAAATGTACCTTATATTTGAA